GTCGACAACAAAACCAGTAGTCTTCAGCTGCTACAACTTATGGGGCACGGCGCTTCACATATCACTGTCTTTCTCACCGCCCATCCGCTCCGATATTCCTCAGCTTCGGTCGACCACTCCTCCCATCCACCTCCACAGCCAGCCCCATCTCTCTCAACCCCTCTGTCTGCCCCTCGTCCCCTCTCACAACCCATCGGCTCCAATATTCCTCAGCTTTGGTCGCCCACTCCTCCCATCCACCTCAACAGCCAGCCCCATCTCTCTCAACCGCTCTGTCTGCCCCTCGTCCCCTCTCACAACCCATCGGCTCCAATATTCCTCAGCTTTGGTCGCCCACTCCTCTCATCCACCTCTACAGCCAGCCCCATCTCTCTCAACCCCTCTGTCTGCGCGCCGCCTCGCACCTCCAGAGCCGCCACGTCAGCAGCATTCTCGGGGTTTCCTTCTAGAAGGTTCCGCACGGCCCACAGCCCCCACTCTCTCAGGAGATCGTCACCCTGCGTGCTGTCGCCTGCCACGCACTGCTGCAGCACCAGGAACAGACCACTGCTCATTATGCTGTTGCTGGGGGTGGGGATGGGGACGGGGGTGCTGCTGTTGGGGGTGGGGGTGCTGCTGCTGGTGGCGCTGCTGCTGCTGCTGCTGCTGCAGGCGCTGCTGCTGCTGCTGCTGTCAGCAGCGGATACCAGAGTGCTAGGAGCCGTATAGCACCGCACAGCATCCTGATATGCCTTGCGCTCATGACACGCGTTTGCAATCACTGCCACCACATCCCTGCGGTAACCAGGGTACGGGTTACACGATGGGTACAGAGCGGTCGAGACTGGTGAACTTGATAATGACACTGTGACTGTCGCTGCTGCTGTTTCAGCTGTCGCTGCCGTTGCTGATGGTTTATTTGCTGCTGATGTGATAGCAGGGGGGCCCAGCCAATGCAGCAGGTCAAGCAGAAGCGGAATCAGCTCCGAGCCACCAACCACTGCTAGCAGGTCCGTGCGTGCCAAGCCTGGGACTGCCGAACCTGGTGAGGCAGGTTCGGCGACTGGAACGGGGTCCAGGGCTGCGAGGATACGAAGGCAGTGCAGGGAAAACCGGAGGATGTGGCGTGCTGACGTGGCTTCATTACTAGGTTCCTCTTTACTAGTTTTTTGACTACCAGGCGCCACCTGGTTACCAGGTGACAGCAGCAGGCCCTGCGCCTGAGCCTGTGCCACAGCCTGTGCAGCACCCCTGCAAACGGTCAGAAGAAAATTCAAGCTGCCCGGACCAATAGGCGGAAAAGATTCTCTTTGCTCTTGCCCCTGCTCCCGCCCCCTTTCCTCCCCTCCTTTCCCCTCTTTCTCCTTCTCCTTCTCTTTCTCCTCGCTCTCCTCCTTCTCCCCTCTCCCAACCCCAACTGAAACCCCCTGTGCCTCTGCTACTGCAGCCAGCGCTCCCCACACCCCCCACAGCAGCCCCGCTTGCTCCCAGCTGAATCTCCCCCCATCAGGCTGCTTTAGGGACAACACAGCTGTTTCTTCCTTCTCTCCCCCCACCTCATCCCCCTCCTCCTTCCCCCATTCCTCCTTCCCCCTTTCCCCTTCCCTGCTCAGCCCAGCGAAAAGTGGCTTGAAGAAGCTTCCACGAAGGCACAGGCGCTCCAGAAGCAGGCTGAGCCAGGGATCGAGAGAGGCGGCGGGGGCGTCTGGGGGGAAGAAAAGGGGAAAGGAAGGGGCATTTGTGAGAAGGGGAAAGGAAGGGGCATTTGTGAGAAGGGGAAAGGAAGGGGCATTTGTGAGAAGGGGAAAGGAAGGGGCATTTGTGAGAAGGGGAAAGGAAGGGGCATTTGTGAGCTATCTCTCTCGAGCTATCCTGATGTGGTGCTCAGGAGCTATCCTGAGCTACCTAGATAGCTCAGGAGCAGGCTGAGCTAGGGATCAACAGATGTGGTGGGGGCGGCTGGGGGCAGGAGAGAGGAGGGGGGGGGGGGATCAGAGGGATGGGCAAGGGGGAGTGCATTTGTGAGAGGCAAGGGCAGACATACCACGGTGTGGGCAACGTCTGAAATTTTTGAGACGTCTCAAAAACACACTTTCTACACGTGGCAGACATACCATGGTCATGTGGGTTCGGCACGAGCCAAGCCCATTCTTCCTCCCTCTCTTCCCACTCTCCCAACTCCTCTTCCTCCTCCTTCTCCGCTTCCCTTCCCCCATCCCCATCACCATCCTCTCTTCTCCCCCTCCTCCTCCACTTCCCCATCTCTCCCCTCAAAACCCTGTCCACCAAACCAATCCCTTCAGCTGATCCTCCCAAATCTTCTGCTGTTTTCTGATTGGTCCGCACGCACGTGAACAGTACCATGCACAGTGCCGACCGCACCCCCGCCGCCCGCCCTGCCGCCCCGCCTGCTGCTGCTATCCGGGAGAAGGTTCCTGGAAAGCACCTGTCCCAGACTGCCTGCTGCTGCCGCCTGCCGCCGCCACAGAAGTTTCCTAGAAGCTGCAGGACCGTTTTGAGTGTGTCGAGATGGTTGGGGGGAAGGGGGATGCTTGGTGGACGGGTAGAGAGAGAGGGAGGTATGCTTGGAATAACTGAGTTCAGTTGGCCCTCTGAGAAACACTCCCCTTCTGCCCCTTCAGTCCCTTCTGCTTCTTCTTCTGCTGCTGCTGCTGCTGCTGTTGGGAGCTGTTGCTACAGATGTTTCTGACATGCCTGCTGCTTCTGCTGACGTGGCTGCAGCTGCTGTTGCTGACGTGGAAGCAGCTGCTTCTGGTGAAATCCCCTTGTTCCCTGTTTCTCCAAGTCTCTCTGCTGCTGTACCTCCCACTTCAGCCATTAACGAAGCCAGAGCGTCTGATAACGAGGATACACTCCCCATCTCTTTCAATTTAGTCACATCTCTGGTCTGCGCCTTGATTGCGCCTGTTTCCGGCGCTGCATGCAAGTCGCGGCTCGTAATTAACCTATCCGCGATGGTCGCCACTAGGTTCACCGCGCCGCACCGCAGGAACGCATCCTGATTGGCTGCCGAGCCTGCCAGCAGGTTCCGAACCACCCGCAGCGCCAGCAGCAGCGGCCGAAGCGCGTGTACTGCCCAAACGCTTCTGCTGGGAGGATCGGTAGATAGCCCCTGGGGCCCGCCATTTGCGGCGCCAGATGCGGCCGCGGACAGCTGTGCCACGTCAGCATTGGCGGCATCTGCGGGATGAAAGATCCCGTGAAGCTCGGGACAGTGTCTGGAGAGCTCGGGCAGGACACCGACCAATCGGGTGATTGCAATTCCGCTGCCCGCAGCTCCAACACTACCATTACTTCTGCCCGAAGAGCTGCCCGCGAAAGATTTGCTTTCTTCCGTAAGCCAATCGCGCTCGCGAGATCGGACGAGGAGATTAGAAAGCGCTTCGGCGAGTGGTTCTAAGGAGTCGACGCCGCCGGTAGCGAAACGAGGGGCGAGCGATTCGACTTCTGTTAAAAGGGATTCCATATTTTGGTCTAACGTGACAACGTGGGGCGGGGCAAATTGTCAGCGAGGGCGATTGTCGCGGTAAATAGAGTATAAAATTTATCACCCCAATCTCGCTATCAGGGTCTCCTCTGCCATGGATTATGATCAATGCACAAGAATGAAAGAATGAGAAGAACGAGAAAACAAGGAAATAAGGAAGATGAGGGCAACGACTGGTTCTGTCACGAATGCATGTGCATTTGTTGTGTTGCGTAGGCGCAAATTTGCGGGGAGAGGTGGCTGTGATGCGATCGAGATCGAGGGCTGAGATTGAGGGTTGAGATTGAGGGTTGAGGGATTCCGTAGCTTTCCGCAAAATGTTTCATTCTTCGCGGCTGTTACCGTGATAGTGAATGAAGAATTCGCGAAAAGCCCCAACCTTTGCCATCTTTCGCAACAAACTTCATCGCTTCGCGTCACCGGCTCGAAGTCTTCGCGCAAACCACGTTTCGCGAGATTCCCAACTTCCAACACCTCCTCACCTCAAATTCTCCGCTCCCGCCAGTCCCCGCTCTTATGTCCCCTTTTCCCCCCGAGCCCTTTTTCCGCGGATAAGGGGAGAAACAACAATCCAAGCGCCCTTGCTTTTCCCCTGCCTGAGACAGGAGAAATGAGACGAGATATCTCCAAGCTCAAATCTGACCAGCCATCACCACCGCCATCACCGTCCCCGCCGCCCTGCTTCTCCACACCCTACAAGGTCCGCCACTGCCTGTAACCTCGGCGCGCTCCCCGCGCGCTCTCCGCGTGCAATCCGCGCACCCTCCGCTTCGCTGTCCTCCATTCCGCGCATCACCGCTGCCCTTCGCGTTCGTTCCTCGAAGCTTCCGTTTTGATGGACCTCGCGGTCCGGGCCCAGTGGGCACTGCAGAAGCCAATCAGTTCATGCTACGTCAGCGCAATAAAACACCCAGACACGTCAGCAGCTCCGCGCAAATCAGAGTTAACCAGCCGCAGCTTCGGCGGGAATGTCGGAAGCCCGAGGTTTCTCCTTCTCTCCTGTTGCGCCCGCTTTCCCGCGCGGAATTCCTCCGCGCGCGGTCGAAACTCCGCCGCTTCCACCGCCCGTCCGCGCGCGGTCGTCGTTTTCCGCGCGGGCAGCCGCCCATTAGCATCTCCGGGCAGAAGAAAAAGAATGCCGGCTGTTGTGACTGTGTCCATTGGCGGAGGTTGGGGGTTAGGTATGAGCGAGGCAGGTTCGGCAATAGGCTTGGCATGGGGCAATGCAGGTTCGGAAAGGGAACCAGCAGGCTGGGTGAAGGCTAGGGGAAGCACAGTGACAGCAGCAGCAACTGCTGTCTCATTGGCTGGGGACGGATCGAATCTGTACAGTGACGTATCAAATCTGGGCGAGCGGCACGAGGAGATGGAGCAGGGGAAGGGCGGAGCGGCAGCAGCAGGGAAGAATGGTGCAGTTGGCATTAAAGGAAGAGAAGCGGAGGAAGGAGGGAGGGAGGATGAGGAGGGAAGAGAGAGTAGAGGGAGCGTGGGAGTGGAGGGGGTGTTGGAGCGAATGAGGAGGGCTGTGCGGATAGAGAGCCTGGCAGCTGACGCACACGTGCATGTGACAGGTAATGGGATGGGGGGAATGGGAGTTGACGGGAAAGGTGGCGTGTCATGTTATGCTGATGACTTGAGTGGCATGATTGGTGGTACTGGAGCAGACGAGGAGGGCTGTGTGGATAGAGAGCCTGGCAGCTGATGCACACGTGCATGTGACAGGTGAGTGTGATGTGATGTGATGTGATGTGATGTGGTAACATGTGACGCTCATGTAACATATAATGTGGTGTGGTAACATGTGGAGGGAGGATGAGGGTGTGAGGAATGTGTATGCGAATGAGAAGGGCTGTGCGGGTAGAGTGCCTGGCCCACCGCCGCTGACGCACATTTGCATGTGACAGGTAAGCGTGACATTTTTGAAGTGACTTTTGAGTCGACTCAAAAGTCACCTCATTTGTATGTGACAGGTAAGCGTGGCATTTTTGAAGTAGTAGTTTCCGCACAGTTTAGAAAAACAGTTTCGACCTGGATCCAATCAGGCAACTCGTCCGCACAGGTTTTCATAACCTGAGCGGAACCTGTGACAGGTTTTCATAACCTGAGCGGAACCTGTGACAGGTTTTCATAACCTGAGCGGAACCTGTGACAGGTTTTCATAACCTGAGCGGAACCTGTGACAGGTTTTCATAACCTGAGCGGAACCTGTGACAGGTTTTCATAACCTGAGCGGAACCTGTGACAGGTTTTCATAACCTGAGCGGAACCTGTGACAGGTTTTCATAACCTGAGCGGAACCTGTGACAGGTTTTCATAACCTGAGCGGAACCTGTGACAGGTTTTCATAACCTGAGCGGAACCTGTGACAGGTTTTCATAACCTGAGCGGAACCTGTGACAGGTTTTCATAACCTGAGCGGAACCTGTGACAGGTTTTCATAACCTGAGCGGAACCTGTGACAGGTTTTCATAACCTGAGCGGAACCTGTGACAGGTTTTCATAACCTGAGCGGAACCTGTGACAAGTTTTCATAACCTGAGCAGAACCTGTGACAGGTTTTCATAACCTGAGCGGAACCTGTGACAGGTTTTCATAACCTGAGCGGAACCTGTGACAGGTTTTCATAACCTGAGCGGAACCTGTGACAGGTTTTCATAACCTGAGCGGAACCTGTGACAGGTTTTCATAACCTGAGCGGAACCTGTGACAGGTTTTCATAACCTGAGCGGAACCTGTGACAGGTTTTCATAACGCACAGTTTACATAACCTGTATTGCATTGTGACTGGGCGGAACCTGACTGGAGTTCTAATTTCTGCTCTCTCTTCACTCATCTCTTTCCTCAACCCCCAACCACTGCTCCAACTGCCAATCCCGTGCCGCCAGGTGTGCAGTCGCTGATGGGCATGGAGGGCACGTGGCAGCTACTCGTGTCGCCAGCTGGCGGCCGATTCGTGGAGTCGTTTGTCGGGCGGCACATCTGGAGCGTGTCGGGCTTTGCCGGCCAATCAGACACCAGCGAATCTGATACCGAATCTAGTGTTGCATCGAGTATCTCATCCGATATCATATCAGATAGCTTATCAGATAGCTCGTCTGATAGCATATCGGACGATGACAAATTCGAAGATCCAGTTTGCCGCCCGGAGATCCAATCTACGGTGTGGGACGTGGACACGGCCGGGCGGGTATCTTCGTTGGATCTGGACGACCACGAGGTGTATCTGCTCTCCGTGTGGCTGCGCTCGTCTCTTTGGCTGCTGCCACCTGTCGCCAGCTCAGCGCTTGACATAAGAGCAGTGGGCGGCAAAGAGGAGATGGGGGAAGGTGGATCAGTTTTTGGCATTCCAAATGGCATGCGGATGGAGATTGATGCACACGTGGCAGCTGATGATAGGGAGATCTTGGCGATCAACCTGATTGGTCGAGAGGTGTGTTCTGGTGATGGTCGCTTTCCGAGGCGCCTTTTTATTTTCCATACCCCTTCCCAAATCCATCCACCTCCATTCAGGGATTTTAGCCTCTTTTCTTTCCTCTGCACCCTTCCCAACCTTTCCCATTCCCAGGTATTCATGTACATAGCCGGCCGTGCATCATCCTTTCTCTTTCAGTCTCGTTCCGTTGTCCTGGCATTCCCTTGCCATTCCACTCACTCCCCCCCGCCAGGTCATCATGTATGTGGCGGTGCATCGCTCTGATTGGCTGCCACGAGTGGCAGTGGTAAAGGCTTATGGGGCGCTAGAGACCTTCACCTTCACTCAATGGGCGCCTGTAGCGGTACGTTTCTGGTGGTATGGTGGTATGGCTGTAGCGGTACAGCTGTAACCATAGGGAGCAGCAGTAACAGGGATGTACCTTTGAGTGGATGGCAGTGGTAAAGGCTTATGGCTTATGGCTTATGAGACACTCACCGTCACGCAATGGGCGCCTTTATCGGTATTGCTGTTGCGGTATGGCTGTTGCGGTATGCCTGTTGCGATACAGGAACAGCATCGGCATTTACAATTCACATGGCACCGATGCTGCCACCACTTACCCATTTCCTTCCTCCCATTTCGTCCCTTCCCTTTCCTCCTTCCTTCTTCCTTCCTCCCGTGTTCCTCCCTCCCCTTTCCTTCCTCCACTTTTTCCAGCCCGACTGCCCATTCCTGCTGCCCGCTACAGTGCACCGGTCAACGTCAGCAGGCGCGCAGCAATCTTTTACATCTGCCCGAACCTCCTTGCTGCCGCCCGGCCCTGCCCATATCCTACTACATGAGAGGGAAGCTTCCGATTCTGAATCCAAGGAAGCTTCCGAATCCATGGAAGCTTCTGAGGAACCTTCGCCCTTCTCATTTTCGTACGACATGCCGGGGTATCAAACCGTCCCGAGCCCGCTGAGCTGCTTCCCAGAAGCTTCCTTTGATGAGAGCGCACCTGCAGAGGTGGAGCTGTTTCAGTCCAACAGCGGGCATCTGCTGGTGCGACCACGGATCAACGGCCAGGATGTGGGGTGAGTGATAATCAACGGTCAGGATGTGGGGTGAGTGATGATCAACGGTCAAGATGTGTGACCCTCTCACATCTCCCCCTCACAACCTCTCACAACCCCCTCTCGCGTCTTTCCAACTTCCGGTTCCCACCCCACCAACCAGCTACTTCATATTTAATTCAAGCGCAAGCTCTTTTACAATTGAACCGGCTGTAGCAGACCGACCAGGGCTACCCAGCTTTAGATGGGTGAAGACGAGTAGGAGGAGGTTGAGTGACAGTGTATGGGCTCTCGGAACCTCCTACTCGATTTTGAGTCGACTCAAAAATCGACTTATCACACACGAGTAGGAGGAGGTTGAGTGACAGTGTATGGGCTCTCGGAACCTCCTACTCGATTTTGAGTCGACTCAAAAATCGACTTATCACACACGAGTAGGAGGAGGTTGAGTGACAGTGTATGGGCTCTCGGAACCTCCTACTCGATTTTGAGTCGACTCAAAAATCGACTTATCACACACGAGTAGGAGGAGGTTGAGTGACAGTGTATGGGCTCTCGGAACCTCCTACTCGATTTTGAGTCGACTCAAAAATCGACTTATCACACACGAGTAGGAGGAGGTTGAGTGACAGTGTATGGGCTCTCGGAACCTCCTACTCGATTTTGAGTCGACTCAAAAATCGACTTATCACACACGAGTAGGAGGAGGTTGAGTGACAGTGTATGGGCTCTCGGAACCTCCTACTCGATTTTGAGTCGACTCAAAAATCGACTTATCACACACGAGTAGGAGGAGGTTGAGTGACAGTGTATGGGCTCTCGGAACCTCCTACTCGATTTTGAGTCGACTCAAAAATCGACTTATCACACACGAGTAGGAGGAGGTTGAGTGACAGTGTATGGGCTCTCGGAACCTCCTACTCGATTTTGAGTCGACTCAAAAATCGACTTATCACACACGAGTAGGAGGAGGTTGAGTGACAGTGTATGGGCTCTCGGAACCTCCTACTCGATTTTGAGTCGACTCAAAAATCGACTTATCACACACGAGTAGGAGGAGGTTGAGTGACAGTGTATGGGCTCTCGGAACCTCCTACTCGATTTTGAGTCGACTCAAAAATCGACTTATCACACACGAGTAGGAGGAGGTTGAGTGACAGTGTATGGGCTCTCGGAACCTCCTACTCGATTTTGAGTCGACTCAAAAATCGACTTATCACACACGAGTAGGAGGAGGTTGAGTGACAGTGTATGGGCTCTCGGAACCTCCTACTCGATTTTGAGTCGACTCAAAAATCGACTTATCACACACGAGTAGGAGGAGGTTGAGTGACAGTGTATGGGCTCTCGGAACCTCCTACTCGATTTTGAGTCGACTCAAAAATCGACTTATCACACACGAGTAGGAGGAGGTTGAGTGACAGTGTATGGGCTCTCGGAACCTCCTACTCGATTTTGAGTCGACTCAAAAATCGACTTATCACACACGAGTAGGAGGAGGTTGAGTGACAGTGTATGGGTGGGGTGCCTCTCTCAACCTCCTACTCGTCTTTCCCCTTGCCTCTACGACCCACCCCACCCACACACCACCCCCTTCACCCACACGCCCCACCAAGCAGTTACTTCATTCTGGATTCAGGTGCAAGCTGCTTCACCATCGAGCCAGTAGTAGCAGACGGGCTGGGGCTATCGAGCTTTGGGTGTGACAGTGCACACGGTGACAGTGCACGGGCCAGCAGAGTGTGCCTCACAGTGCCTCTCCCAAACCCCCTGTGACTTTTGAGTCGACTCAAAAGGCACCTTGTGTGCACACGATGACAGTGCGCCTCACAGTGCCTCTCCCAACCCCCCTTCTCGTCTTCTCATCTTCCCTCCCTGCAGCTACTTCATTCTGGATTCAGGTGCAAGCTGCTTCACCATCGAGCCAGCAGTGGCGGATGGGCTAGGCCTGTCCAGCTTTGGCTGTGTGCACACAGTGACAGTTCACGGGCCGGCAGAGTGCGCATTCAGACGAGCGGACTCGGTGCAGCTGGGGCCTCTTTCTATCAACAATGCATTATTTGTGGATGTGAGACCTCTTCCTGAGACCGGCTTCCTGTGACCTGCTTCCTGTCACCTGCTTCCTGTCACCTGCTTCCTGTCACCTGCTTCCTTGTAGAATCTGCTTCCTTGTTGAATCTGCAGCGTCGATGTATCACGTCCATCACATCAACCATCTCAAGCTCCCTCTCACTTATTAGTGCTTTCACTCTCACTCCCTCGCACTCTCACTCCCTCGCACTCTCACTCCCTCGCACTCTCACTCCCTCGCACTCTCACAGGTGGGAGGAGCAGCGCTGGTGCAGGGAGTGAAGCCGGTGGTGGGGATCTGCGGCTATGACGTGTTCCGACATGCCGTTGTGCACGTGCAGGTGAGAGGCAGGGGGGGGGCAGGTGAGGGGCAGGGGCATGTGAGTGGCTATGACGTGTTCCGACATGCTGTTGTGCACTTGCAGGTGAGAGGCAGGTGGGGGGCAGGTGAGAGGCAGGTGAGAGGCATGGCAATGTGAGTGGCTATGATTTGTTCCGACATGCTGTTGTGCACTTGCAGGTGAGAAGGCATGTGAAGGGTGTGAGTGGTATGTGAGGGGTGTGAGTGGTATGTGAGGGGTGTGAGTGGTATGTGAGGGGTGTGAGTGGTATGTGAGGGGTGTGAGTGGTATGTGAGGGGTGTGAGTGGTATGTGAAGGGTGTGAGTGGTATGTGAGGGGTGTGAGTGGTATGTGAGGGGTGTGAGTGGTATGTGAGGGGTGTGAGTGGTATGTGAGGGGTGTGAGTGGTATGTGAGGGGTGTGAGTGGTATGTGAGGGGTGTGAGTGGTATGTGAGGGGTGTGAGTGATATGTGAGGGGTGTGAGTGGTATGTGAGGGGTGTGAGTGGTATGTGAGGGGTGTGAGTGGTATGTGAGGGGTGTGAGTGGTATGTGAAGGGTGTGAGTGGTATGTGAGGGGTGTGAGTGGTATGTGAGGGGTGTGAGTGGTATGTGAGGGGTGTGAGTGGTATGTGAGGGGTGTGAGTGGTATGTGAGGGGTGTGAGTGGTATGTGAGGGGTGTGAGTGGTATGTGAGGGGTGTGAGTGGTATGTGAGGGGTGTGAGTGGTATGTGAGGGGTGTGAGTGGTATGTGAGGGGTGTGAGTGGTATGTGAGGGGTGTGAGTGGTATGTGAGGGGTGTGAGTGGTATGTGAGGGGTGTGAGTGGTATGTGAGGGGTGTGAGTGGTATGTGAGGGGTGTGAGTGGTATGTGAGGGGTGTGAGTGGTATGTGAGGGGTGTGAGTGGTATGTGAGGGGTGTGAGTGGTATGTGAGGGGTGTGAGTGGTATGTGAGGGGTGTGAGTGGTATGTGAGGGGTGTGAGTGGTATGTGAGGGGTGTGAGTGGTATGTGAGGGGTGTGAGTGGTATGTGAGGGGTGTGAGTGGTATGTGAGGGGTGTGAGTGGTATGTGAGGGGTGTGAGTGGTATGTGAGGGGTGTGAGTGGTATGTGAGGGGTGTGAGTGGTATGTGAAGGGTGTGAGTGGTATGTGAAGGGTGTGAGTGGTATGTGAAGGGTGTGAGTGGTATGTGAGGGGTGTGAGTGGTATGTGAGGGGGAGGGCATGGGCAGGAGATGCTGATACAAGAGACCTGTAAGACTGACTAATGCCATGTTGAGACTGATAAAGGAAGCTTCATGACTTAAAATGGCAACTTCAAGGCTCAAAAAGTGGGCCTCAAAATAGGCAGCACAATAACAGACCATTTGCCACATCCGCACAGGCGCGCGGCAGAAAAGGAACCCTCCGGTTGTACAAACCCCAAGAAACCAATGAAGCATCCGAAGCAGGCAGCACAACAACAGGCCCCATTGTTCCTGCTCTCCCTCTCCCCCCCACCATTCGCCACATCCCCTCAGGCGCGTGGCAGGAAGGGGACTCTCCGGCTGTACAAACCCCAAGAAACCAATGAAGCATCCGAAGCAGGCAGCACAACAACAGGCCCCATTGTTCCTGCTCTCCCTCTCCCCCCCACCATTCGCCACATCCCCTCAGGCGCGTGGCAGGAAGGGGACTCTCCGGCTGTACAAACCTCAAGAAACCAATGAAGCATCCGAAGCAGGCAGCACAACAACAGGCCCCATTGTTCCTGCTCTCCCTCTCCCCCCCACCATTCGCCACATCCCCTCAGGCGCGTGGCAGGAAGGGGACTCTCCGGCTGTACAAACCCCAAGAAACCAATGAAGCATCCGAAGCAGGCTGCACAACAACAGGCCCCATTGTTCCTGCTCTCCCTCTCCCCCCCACCATTCGCCACATCCCCTCAGGCGCGTGGCAGGAAGGGGACTCTCCGGCTGTACAAACCCCAAGAAACCAATGAAGCATCCGAAGCAGGCAGCACAACAACAGGCCCCATTGTTCCTGCTCTCCCTCTCCCCCCCACCATTTGCCACATCCCCTCAGGCGCGCGGCAGGAAAGGAACCCTCCGGCTGTACAAACCCCAAGAAACACTCAGTGCATCAGAAGCAGGCAGCATTGCAGCAGCAGGCAACTCGTTAACAGGCGGCACAGAGAACAGCGCAGGGGAAGCGGACAAAGGCGAAATATCCCGGCCGCAAACCACTGCTGCTGCCCTGGTGGATGGATCAGCAATAAGTGCGCCTGTGCCTCCTGGTGTTGCCATGGCTCAAAGACGGAGCAGAGGAGGGGCGAGAGGGGGAAGAGGGGCAGGAGGCAGGGCAGGGGGAGGGGTGGCGGTGGTTTCTGCTGCTGTGGTTGGAGGTCACCCCTCTGTGCCTGATCTCGGACAAAATATCTACTGGGAGGTAAGTAGGTACCGGTGGGGAGGTGGCTACTGGTGTAGGTTTGTTGGGGGTTACCAAGCTCAGTGGCGGTGGTATCTGCTGCTCTGGTTGGAGGGCATCCCTCTGTGCCTGATCTCGGACAAAATATCTACTGGGAGGTGAATGGGTGCTGGTGTAGGTTTCTCAGTGGATATGAAGCTTGGAGGTCACTTCTCTGTGCCTGATCTGAAGGCAAACATCTACTGGGAGGTAGGTAGCTGTCTCCTTTCTAGTAGGAGATGGGTGTGGCTACTGCTGTATGAACAGAGGTGGGTGGGTATGATTTAGAGTTGACTAGAAAGAAATCGTAGCCCAAAACGGATCTTATTGTTGCGCTACGACTTTCTGAACTGATATCTTGTGCTATCTCTTTTTCCGTTCCTGCTCCTTCCTCTCCCGCCTCCCACACCCATCAGCCCCTGCGCATGCTGGGCAGTGTGCCGCACATCGCCATCTCCTTCCAAGAGCACTGGGACTCGCTGCCCCTCTCCGGCCACTTTCTCCTCGACACTGGAGCAGCAGGGGTAGACATAATCTTCAACACTCCAATGTATTCCACTCCTTTCTACCCCTGTGTGCCCCTCACAACCCCATCACATCCCCATCACATCCCCATCACATCCCCATCAGCCCCTGCGCATGCTGGGCAGTGTGCCGCACATCGCCATCTCCTTTCAAGAGCACTGGGACTCGCCTCTCCACAGTCCAGCCCTTTCCTCTGTGCCACCAGAGCAGCACGAGTTGCCGTCACATTCCACTCCTTTCTACCCTTGCGTGCCGCTCACAACCCCTTCACACCCCTCTCAGCCTTTGCGCATGCTGGGCAGCGTGCCGCACATCGCCATCTCCTTCCAAGAGCACTGGGACTCGCTGCCCCTCTCGGGCCTCTTGCTCCTCGACACAGGAGCAGCAGGGGTGGACATAATCTTCAACGCTCCAACGTATTCCACTCCTTTCTACCCCTCTGTGCCCCTCACAACCCCTTCACATCCCTCTCAGCCTTTGCGCATGCTGGGAAGCGTGCCGCACATCGCCATCTCCTTCCAAGAGCACTGGGACTCCCCGCCCCTCTCGGGCCTCTTTCTCCTCGACACCGGAGCAGCCGGGGTAGACATAATCTTCAACGCGCGGGCAGTGGAGCGCTGTCAACTTGGGAGGAGGGCCAAAGGGGGGGACAGCTGGCTGAAAGGCATGGGGGGAGCAGGGGGAGGGGGAGGCGGACAGCAGATGACGGTGAGTGAGCGTGTGTGATTGTGTGTGTGTATGATTCTGTGGGAGGGTGTGTGTGTGTGTGTGTGTGTGTGTGGGTGTGTGTGGGAGAGTGCGTGCAGCTAAGCCCTTATGAGAGCAGCAGGGGTGGACATAATCTTCAACGCGCAGGCAGTGGAGCGCTGTCAGCTGGGGAGGAGGGCTAAAGGAGGCGACAGCTGGCTTTAAGGCATGGGGGGCGCAGGGGGAGGGGGAGGAGGGGTGTTTCGAGTATGTGGGTGAACGTGTGGTTGAGTGGTTGGGTTTTTGAGAATTCTCAAAAACCAGCTTGAGTGGTTGGGAACGTGTGCATACCCGTGCCAATCTCGCGCGCTTGACGCGTGGACATCTTTTTCAATGCTCGCGCAGTGGAACGGCGTCAGCTGGGGCATCCTGGCAGTGGTGACATTCGTGTTTTGGGACGTCTCAAAACAGTGGAGCGGTGCCAGCTGGGGCAACCTGGCAGTGGTCACAGTCGCAGGGCAGCAGCTCAAGAATGTGTCGCTGCTTTTCTCCTCGCCTCCTCTCCTCATCCTCTCCACTGCTCGTCCCTCCCCCGTCCCATGCAGGTGCAGCAAGGCAACCTGGCAGTAGTCACAGTGGCAGGGCAGCAGCTAAAAAACGTGTCAGCGCTTTTCTGCTGAGCGTATCCCCCCTCCCTTTCCCATCCTCTCTCCCTCCCTCCATGCAGGTGCGGCAAGGCAACCTGGCTGTAGTCACAGTCGCAGGGCAGCAGCTCAAGAATGTCTCAGCGCTGTTCTCCACAGCAGAGCAGGGAGCCTTGGAGTTGTCGCAGTACACTAGCGGATTGATATGCCGTAACTTACTCTCCAAGTTTGATTTAATTATAGACTACCCTGGGCTTCGGGTTGGCCTCATTCCTCGCTCTTCCCGCATGTCCAAGCTGTAGAGAGCTGCATGCGCTTTCAGTGTTACAACACTTTTTCAGTGTTACAACATGCTTGCTCTTGTACCTACTCTGCTCTCTGTATTATTCTGTTTGTTCATTATTTGATGCTGCAGAATCTGATTGACTGCTGGAAAAATGCCAGGCGGATCAGGAAACAGCTGTGCACTGTTATTCTTGCAGGAATCGTACACCAGAGAGTTGAGATGCTCCATGCAGTATTTCAGTCAATCATCTTACCTGCAAGATCTCTCATGGATAAATGTGGGAAAGAGCACAGCCTTTTTTTCTGCAATAAAAATTGGGTAACCAACCAGCAGATAATAGTGATAAACGCTGACAGTGGACTGAGCTGAGCCTGGTAATCTCTCAAATACTAGCAGATACTTTATTGAATGGGCTACAAAAGCCAGAGGTACCAGAATATTGACAATGAATGACGTCCTGATACTGCCGGACAAAGCGGCAGGCCTGATTAGCAAGACTCTACACCGACCGATCTACTATGCGCTGCTGATGATTACATTCTCACTACCGTACCTTAAACTTAGCGCTAAGTAGTACTAAGAATAACGAAGTGTCATCATGACTTAGCTATCAGGGAAGTTTTCGGCTCCGGTGTACGTCTGGTTGACCTGCCACGAAGCCGGAATCACGTTCTTGAGAACAATAACCTTCCCGTTGAAGTTCGTCGTCACGCGCAGCGTCATCGCTTGCCCGCCAACCTTGACATTGTTCAGCGACCACGTGGTTCCGAAGTTCCTGACAAGCGGCTTGAATCCGGCGGTACCGACCAGTTGAGCTTCGATCTTGGAAATAGTTCCTGGTCCCGCGACATTGAGAGGGAGAAGGTTGATGAACCAGTCGTTCCCCATAAGAATCTTGATTTGAATCCCACCCTTGCGAGGGCAAGGGACGCGCGACACTCGCACGGCGATGTCGCCAGCGTTTCGCGTGGTGACGATCTGGTCGTAGACGCTGGGCGGCAGCATGATGGATTTCTTAGGAAGCTGGCACAGGCCGCCGTGAGTTTTGTTGCCCTTGCAGTGGTTAGTGACTGTAACGGTGGCGGCGTTCCCGTTGCATCTCTTGTTCTTCACGCACTTGATCGCCACGCACGCGCCGCAGGTCTGGCCGTTCTCGTACAAAATAGAAGACACCGCGCTAGTAGCAGATCCGATACCGGTGTTCACCGTGTTGCCGTATCCGCACGCGCCTTGGGCAAGACCGCCTTCGGAGGGAGAAATCGTCGCGATGTAGCCGCCATCCCACGTGTTGAACACACCCTGGTTGATCTTAGCTCGCGTCGGCTTTCCTGGCTTCTTCGGCTGTGGTTTTACGGCAGGAGGAGTCGTTGTTTTCGGCGTAGGCGTCGTTGTTTTCGGCGCAGGCGTCGTTGTTGCCGGTGTGCCGGCAGCAGAGGCCAAAGCCACCAAGCACAGAGCCAAGACTACGGATACAGCAGCAAACGTGGACCGTCTAGCCATCGTTAGGAGCTTAAACTGGACTAGCCGAAGCAGAGTCCCAAGGCGGAAAGAAACTACAAGTCGTAGTCTGGAAGCTCTGGAATGTGACGATCGGTAGATGCTGGAGCAACGTGGAAATGGGAAACTAACGTCAATGAATGAGGAACAACGAAGAATGGCTCCTGCTTTCAAATGGGCCTCAAAAAGACTGATCCATAGCACGCCGTTTGTGGGGCCGGGACCAGCGGCACCGTCAGCAGCAGAGCACCCATTAGCGCGTTATCTGCCGAAAAACGGCGAGCAGGAAACAGCAAAAGCGGCGGGCGTCGGAATTTGGTTTGGGAGTCGAGCAGGGCAGGGCGTGGCGTGTCGCGCCGTAGTGTCCAACCTTGAATCTGCCGTGTCACGGTCAGAGAAGGTCTGGGCTGCGTTTACGCGTGGTATGGTACGGTTCTGGTTAGGCGAATGTCGAACTCGGGAGTCCGTTGCGGTGCGGTGAAATTCGTGCTGGCGGGAAACGGGGTCAAGTGTGTGCTGGCGGTTCGAAGTTGTAAAGTTCATCTCTTTGACGCGTATGGAGTGAGACATACGACTACATCCGTGTAGATCCTTATTGACCTGTAAGGTGGTGCTTTCTTATTATTTACAGAGTATGATTTAATAGTTGTTGTAAAAAATGATAGTTAGTTGCTGTTTTTCACAGCATCTAAAAAATTAGTTGGCTAATATCAATAGGTGGAAGTGACGCAATTGTTAACACTACTTGATTTTTAGGATTCAAGCATTTGGAGCTATGACACACATATCCCTGTGCGTTCACTGTACTTCTCTAGCACATCCGCATTAGAACCTTCCCTACTGCGATACCGACCAAATCAACATACCATCAGCTTGTGGTCTGGATGGAGTCCATTTGAGCGAGCATTTTCATGGATTGCCAGTCCCACTCATGTTTAGGACCCAGGCTTTGCTTTGAGTTCAGTGCTTCCGAAACACATCTTAGTTCGGCCATGTAGTTCTGGACATCCCTTTGTCCATTTTTAACCTCGAATTGCTCTGGGTGGCCGTCATACCTGTGGCTTCATTTGTCGTCGTACTCATCTTTCCCTGCACTGGCAGCAGAAGCTGGCAGTTATGCTAACCAATTAGTAGTGTCTGCCATTTCACGTACGAAAATCGGGTCATAGTTTATTGAACAAGGCCCGTTGTCGAAACCATGGTTTCAGATACCTTATCTCGCAGAACTGTCGAGTCCTCAGAAGCGACCAGCCGATCACCTCCTGATGACTTACCAGCGGCGAAGTCGCCGGGGAATGCGGAGGCTACTGAGCATGGCCCAGCCGGCTTCACGGAAACGCAACGGTTCGTTACTCCCCCGAAATCCCCGTCAGCAGTTCACGGCATTCAGGGAAATGCCGCCATGGCCTCACAACGCGCTGCGGATAGGCCATCGGAAACCGCACGATTTCCGCAATTAGCGGTGACGACTCTTACGCAGGATCATCGCGCGCTTCTGTCACACCCTAGAAGTGACATTAAAGAAGAAGTTTCTGAAGTTCCCCGTGCAAGCGGCGATGATCCTGAGGTAGGACGGACAGAGAGCGGATTCGACTGGGACAGGAATGGTGCAGCTCACCCGCTGCTCAGACCCAGCGACAGCAGAGACGATCATTCGCTTAACGGAGGGACCTTTTCCGTCAGCCAAGGCGTTCCGTCAGTCAGCAAAGGTGCTCCGTCCGTGGCCAGGAATCGGGAGGCATCAGGTGGAAGCAACGCAAGAGAGCTACATAGCGGCTGGGATGCTGGGGGGATGCTACGATCCGTGCATGGTCTGCTGCCAAGGTCAGTCTCTTCGTTTTTTAGGCACCTTAAAGGGTACGGCGCAAGGGAGTTGTTCAGTGGCTGCGGCGACGCTGGACGTGGTACCAACTGTCCCTTTCTCGGCCTGAACTTGCTCCTATCGCCTTCCAGGGTTAGAAAGCGTGCTTCTATCGCTTTATTATCCACGTGCTTACCTGAACTCCCGCATATCACCTTGCCAGAAAATAATGTGTTCATTTTGACCTGTTAACTCCATGCTCAACTATTCTCTCCCTGTTCGATCTGAACTCCCGCCTATTTATTTTCCAGGAACGCACAGGCCCTGCTGGCCCCGATAAAGGAAAGCTTCTGGACAATCACAGCCCTCGCAGTGGCGATTTCCGGGGCAGCGATTCTGCTGGCAATTACCCTCTCGTTCGCGCTCGTGCCCGCCGCAGCCCCTGGCAATTATCTGTCCATGCAGGACATTGGAGGTGAGGAGGAAGTAGGAGGATGCTGTGATTGGAAGCTTCTTCTACAAGGATAGATCACACAGTGGTGGTTACCCTCTCGCTCGCGCTCGTCACACAGTGGTGGTAACCCTCTCGCTCGCGCTCGTGCCTGCTGCAGCCCCTGGCTGGCAGTTATATGTCCGTGCAAGACATTGGAGGTGAGGACGTAGCAACAAGAGTTATTAGCTTCGTGGTGCTTCAAGAGTCGATTCTGGTGAGGAAGTAGCGGCAGGAATGTTTGTGAAAGATGTGAGTTGAACAAGTGATCTGATTAGAGAGCAAACCTAGCATACATAGTTTGGGAAGAGAAGCTTGGAAGCGAAGGATGAACCCAACCTATGGTTGGGTTGACCTCACTTGGGGAAGTGAGGCAACCATAGGTGGGGTGGGTTGGGTTGCCCACACTTCTAAGAAGTGTGGCAACCCTAGGCCCACTTGGCTTGTGGTGGCCTCAATTGTGAAGTGAGGTACCCAAAAAGTCAAGAGGGTTGCAATTTGGGGGCTCCACCACAATTGGGTGGATTGGCACCCCAAAGTGCAAGACTACACCCAATGTTGGGTGTAGTCCCAACCCAACTGTACACCACAATTGGTGTACAGTCACATGTGCTTAGCATGCTACAATATATAATTCTAACAATGTTCAGCTTCGAGGTGCAACAAGTCTGTGTCTGTTGTCAGTCAGTCACCCTCTTTGTCTGTGTCTGTGTCTTCGAGCTGCAGCCCCTGGCAGCATCTTTACGCTGGCACACAAGTGATATCTCCTCTTCCTTCCCTTCTCCCTCTCCCTGCTCCCTCCTCCCTCTCCTTTTTCCGTCTTCCCACCCTTCTTCCCCCGTTCTCCCTCTGCGCCCTCAACCCAGTCCCCTTCAACCTATCCTGGCAGGGGTATCGCACCTACCTGCAGCAGCTGCAGCCACTACAACAGCACGTGGGTCTGCCCTCCATCCCCTTTCCTTTCTCCCTCTCCTCTCTCCCTCTCCCCTTCTCTCTGTGTCCCCACCCCTCCCCAGTCCCCTTCAACCTATCCTGGCAGGGATATCGCACCTACCTGCAGCAGCTGCAGCCACTACAACAGCACGTGGGTCTGCCCTCCATCCCCTTTCCTTTCTCCCTCTCCTCTCTCCCTCTCCCCTTCTCTCTGTGTCCCCACCCCTCCCCAGTCCCCTTCAACCTATCCTGGCAGGGATATCGCACCTACCTGCAGCAGCTGCAGCCACTACAACAGCACGTGGGTCTGCCCTCCATCCCCTTTCCTTTCTCCCTCTCCTCTCTCCCTCTCCCCTTCTCTCTGTGTCCCCACCCCTCCCCAGTCCCCTTCAACCTATCCTGGCAGGGATATCGCACCTACCTGCAGCAGCTGCAGCCACTACAACAGCACGTGGGTCTGCCCTCCATCCCCTTCCACCCGCTCCCCCGCGGCCCCCACGGCTTCATCCAGTTCTCCGCCTACCGCCTCTCCTCGCGCTCTTTCGCTGTCGTGGGCTTCGGGGCGCATTATCTCAAGGACCATTTGTGAGTGATGCAGCAGAAGCTGGTATGCGCAGTTTGAGCAAAGCTTATGCGTGCTCTTTCGCTGTCGTGGGCTTTGGGGTGCGTTATCTCAAGGACCATTTGTGAGTGATATTTTTGAGTCGATTAGAAAACGGCTTCATCCAATTCTCCGCCTACCGCCTCTCCTCGCGCGCACTTTTGCTGTCGTGGGCTTCGGGGCGCATTATCTTAAGGACCATCTGTGAGTGATGCATGCCGCATGCGGATTAAGGTCGATCTTTTAGGCTTTGTCGTGCTCTCGCTGCCGTGGGCTTCTGTTTTCATGGCTTCTGTTCCTTGCATGCATGCTGCGATGTGATTCAATGTGATGTGATGTGATGTGATGTGATGTGATGTGATGGGATGGGATGGGATGGGATGGGATGGGATGGGATGGGATGGGACGGGACGGGACGGGACGGGACGGGACGGGACGGGACGGGACGGGACGGGACGGGACGGGATGGGATGGGATGGGATGGGATGGGATGGGATGGGATGGGATGGGATGGGATGGGATGGAATGGGATGGGATGGGATGGGATGTGATGTGATGTTATGTTATGTGATGTGATGTGATGTGATTTAATGTGATGTGATGTGATGTGATTTGATTTGATGTGATGTGATGTGATGTGATGTGATGTGATGTGATGTGATGTGATGTGGTGTGACACCAGAGGCGCTGTTAGATGCTTATGGCAGGGAAGCAATGGGCTAGAGCTGAAGGCGGAACCCACAATTATCTACACCAATCTGCGGGAAGAGAGTGACTACGATGCAATTGTTATAAGAGTAAGTTCTGTGCTGGATTTGACTTTATAAAGGGGATATTAAGAAAGCCAAGGGGCTAGAGGGAATAAAGAAGGAATATCATCACATGGGTTGCTGGGTTTCGGTTCAGTGGTTTGTTGTGATATCGCTTGACGGTGGAAATCGAGGAGTCTCAGTTATGGCAATGGTGTGGTGTGGTGGCAATGATGGGTCACACTTGATCGCTGATGGGCCTCCCTCATTTCCTGGTGAGGTACTGTGCTGACGATCACAGCAGCGGTATTGCTGAGCCATCCATGGGGAATGTGATGCATTGAGGTACATTGAGGTAAGTCTTGTTATTTCTAGCAGACCGCACATATGCCTACCTTTGGAATCCCTCCCTCCTTGTCCGTCCCATCTCATCCCAGTGCGAGTTGGAGGAGTCACCAGGGGATGCTGGTGGGGAGCTCTTTCTCACGATTGCTCACGAGCCCTTCCTTTGGACCACATCACGCCTGCTTGTCCCATCCCTCCGTCCCATCCCAGTGCGAGTTGGAGGAGTCAACGGGGGATGCTGATGGGGACCTCAGGGGATATGGAACCTTGTATCTATTCGTTTGTCCAAATCATGCCGTTCATCCCTCCTCTCCTCATACGTCCCATCCCAGTGCGAGTTGGAGGGGTCAACAGGGGATGCTGGTGGGGACCTCTTTCTCACTATTACCAACGAACGAGCCCTTCTATTAGACCACATCACTCCTGCGTTTCCCATCCCTCCTCCATCCCATCCCAGTGCGAGTTGGACGAGTCAACAGGGGATGCTGGTGGGGACCTCTTTCTCACTATTACCAACGAACAAGCCCTTCTATTAGACCACATCACTCCTGCGTTTCCCATCCCTCCTCCATCCCATCCCAGTGCGAGTTGGTCGAGTCAACAGGGGATGCTGGTGGCGACCTCTTTCTCGATATTGCTAGCGAGCCCTTCCTCGCTCTCAGGTGATTCTTCTGCTGATCTCAGGTGTTTTCTGTTGCTTTCAGGTGCTTCTTCTGTTTCTGGTCTTTTTGCCGTTTTTTCACCTCCCAGTGTTGTTCCCTTGAAACCACCTGACACATACCCCCGTCTCTCCCTTCCTCCCATGCCCCCATCCGTCCTCTTCCATTCAAGTCCCCTTCCACCCCTCCCTCTTCCACAGCCCTACCTGTTCCCTCCAAGTTCCCACCCCTATCTATCTTTTATTCCATTTTGCCTCCCAACTTTGACTGCCTTGTCCCATCTCTGTCCATCCCCCCATCTTCCCAGACCTTCAACAAGCCCCCTCCCTCACCCTACCTCCCGCCTCCCTCCCTCCCCTTCCCTCCCCACTCCCTCCCCCCACCCTCCACATACGCACCTGCCTATGCGCTTCAGAGAGAGCTCCGCCTTGCAGCATGCCATTGTGCCACCCGACTTTGACCGCCTGCCGCATGTACCCTCCTAATGCGCTATGCACATGCCTCCGACCCCCTCCCTTTTTTCCCAACCCCCTCACCTCCCCCCCTCCACTCCCCTCTCTTACCCCGTCCCTCTGCATCAGAGAGAGCTCCGCCCTGCAGCATGCCATTGTGCCGCCCGACTTTGACCGCCTGCCGCATGTGCTGACGATATGCGCCGTGCGCATGGGGCGGCAGGTGGAGGCGAGAACAGTGCACGAGTGGCTGAGCTACCACTGGCACCTCGGGGCTACCCAGTTCCGCCTCTATGACGCTGGCGCAATGGATGAGACGTAAGTGGTTTGAGAGGTAGGTACAGGGGAGACGTGAGTGGTTTGAAGTGCAGTCCGCATGGGGCGGTTGGTGGAGGCAAGGACAGGGCACGAGTGGGTGAGCTACCACTGGCACCTGGGATCCACCCAATTCCGCCTCTATGACGCTGGAGCCATGGATGAGAGGTGAGGTGAAGGGGTCTGCTTTCTTACATACCTGATAGGTAGACAATGCCTTAGCAGGACGGTTGAATGGGTGCGGACCGTGCACGAGTGGGTGAGCTGCCACTGGCACCTGGGGTTACCCAGTTCCGCCTCTATGACGCTGGCGCAATGGATGATAGGTGAGGGCTCTGATGACCCATGGAACAGGGGACGAGAGGCTAAGAGCAGAACAGGGCACGAGTGGGTGAGCTACCACCGGCACCTGGGAGCCACCCAATTCCGCCTGTACGATGCTGTAGCAATGGATGATGAGAGGTGAGATGTTTTTTGAGACGTCTCAAAAGGAGCCACCCAGTTCCGCCTCTATGACGCTGGAGCAATGGATGATGCGAGGTGAGATGTTTGCCTGAAGTGAGGTGAAGGGGTCTGCTCAGTAACGTACTTGATAGGTACACAGCGCCTTAGCAGGACACCTGAATAGGCGAGAATTGCCAATAAGTGGGTGAACTACCACTGGCACCTCGAGCGAGACTGCCTCTGTATTCGTTTCTCCTGCATTTTTCTTTATTCATCATTCACTCTCTCTCCCTCTCCTCTGTGCTTTCTCAGCCTTGCCACAGTCCTCGATACCTTCCTGCGCAACGACTCGTTAAAAGTCATCCCCACACGGCAGCTATCCTTATACAATATCGAGTACGATGCGCACGTGAGTACAGTACCCTCCCTTTTCCACCTCCTCCACCCCCCCCTTCCCAGCTCACACTCCTTCGCACACTCTCACCCCCACTCATCCTTCCTCACCCTCCCTCCCTCTTCCTTTATTTTGCCCCCCTTTTTCCACCACAAGATCAAGATTGAGAACGGTGTTTTGCACCGCAAAGCGCTCCTAATAAGTCTTTCTCAATCTTGATCTGCTCTTGTAACAAGTCGACTCAAAACACGGTTCTTAAATATCATTCTCAATCCTGCTCCGCTCTTGTCGCTCGCTTCATTCGCCCTTCCATCCCACCACTACCTTTTGCCCTTGAATGCCTGTACAGAACACATTCTACATCAGCTGGTTACCATGTTACCCTTCACTAACATCATTTTCCCCTTTCTCCCTCCCACCCCCCCTCCCTCCCTCTCTTTCCCTTCCCCCTTGTTCCCCTTGCTTCTTCCCTCTTCCCCCATCCTCTGTCCTCCCCACCAGTCTCTGAGCGCCCTAGACTGCCTCTACAGCACACACTTCACATCGCAGTGGGTTACCGTGTTACCACCCGACAGTTACCTCTACGTCACACCCCCACACACCCTCCTCTGCTTCCTCTCTCAATACGCCTCCAAGCCGTGGCTCACATTCGGGGCACACGAGTGGAGCACAGAGAAATGCCGGGAGGGGATTGTGTGGGAGAATGTGACAACGGAGGAGTGGATGGGGTGGAGGGAGGAGAGTCCGTTTGTGGTGGAGTGGCTGGCGTATAGGCGGAGGGAGAATGTGTGTGAGGGGGGTGGGGAGGACAGGGAGAAGTGCATTGGGAAGGAGGGGCAGCGATCGCACTTCACCAACCCGAGAAAGGTGCGTGCGAGAGTGGGGTGTGTGGGACTGGGATGTGTGTGAGTGGGGTGTGTGGGACTGGGATGTGTGTGAGTGGGGTGTGTGGGACTGGGATGTGTGTGAGTGGGGTGTGTGGGACTGGGATGTGTGTGAGTGGGGTGTGTGGGACTGGGATGTGTGTGAGTGGGGTGTGTGGGACTGGGATGTGTGTGAGTGGGGTGTGTGGGACTGGGATGTGTGTGAGTGGGGTGTGTGGGACTGGGATGTGTGTGAGTGGGGTGTGTGGGACTGGGATGTGTGTGAGTGGGGTGTGTGGGACTGGGATGTGTGTGAGTGGGGTGTGTGGGACTGGGATGTGTGTGAGTGGGGTGTGTGGGACTGGGATGTGTGTGAGTGGGGTTTGTGGGGTTGGGATGTGTGTGAGTGGGGTGTGTGGGACTGGGATGTGTGTGAGTGGGGTGTGTGGGACTGGGATGTGTGTGAGTGGGGTGTGTGGGACTGGGATGTGTGTGAGTGGGGTGTGTGGGACTGGGATGTGTGTGAGTGGGGTGTGTGGGACTGGGATGTGTGTGAGTGGGGTGTGTGGGACTGGGATGTGTGTGAGTGGGGTGTGTGGGACTGGGATGTGTGTGAGTGGGGTGTGTGGGACTGGGATGTGTGTGAGTGGGGTGTGTGGGACTGGGATGTGTGTGAGTGGGGTTTGTGGGGTTGGGATGTGTGTGAGTGGGGTGTGTGGGACTGGGATGTGTGTGAGTGGGGTTTGTGGGGTTGGGATGTGTGTGAGTGGGGTGTGTGGGACTGGGATGTGTGTGAGTGGGGTGTGTGGGACTGGGATGTGTGTGAGTGGGGTGTGTGGGACTGGGATGTGTGTGAGTGGGGTTTGTGGGGTTGGGATGTGTGTGAGTGGGGTTTGTGGGGTTGGGATGTGTGTGAGTGGGGTGTGTGGGACTGGGATGTGTGTGAGTGGGGTGTGTGGGACTGGGATGTGTGTGAGTGGGGTGTGTGGGACTGGGATGTGTGTGAGTGGGGTTTGTGGGGTTGGGATGTGTGTGAGTGGGGTGTGTGGGACTGGGATGTGTGTGAGTGGGGTGTGTGGGACTGGGATGTGTGTGAGTGGGGTGTGTGGGACTGGGATGTGTGTGAGTGGGGTGTGTGGGACTGGGATGTGTGTGAGTGGGGTTTGTGGGGTTGGGATGTGTGTGAGTGGGGTTTGTGGGGTTGGGATGTGTGTGAGTGGGGTGTGTGGGACTGGGATGTGTGTGAGTGGGGTGTGTGGGACTGGGATGTGTGTGAGTGGGGTGTGTGGGGTTGGGATGTGTGTGAGTGGGGTGTGTGGGGTTGGGATGTGTGTGAGTGGGGTTTGTGGGGTTGGGATGTGTGTGAGTGGGGTTTGTGGGGTTGGGATGTGTGTGAGTGGGGTGTGTGGGACTGGGATGTGTGTGAGTGGGGTGTGTGGGACTGGGATGTGTGTGAGTGGGGTTTGTGGGGTTGGGATGTGTGTGAGTGGGGTTTGTGGGGTTGGGATGTGTGTGAGTGGGGTGTGTGGGACTGGGATGTGTGTGAGTGGGGTTTGTGGGGTTGGGATGTGTGTGAGTGGGGTGTGTGGGACTGGGATGTGTGTGAGTGGGGTGTGTGGGACTGGGATGTGTGTGAGTGGGGTGTGTGGGACTGGGATGTGTGTGAGTGGGGTGTGTGGGACTGGGATGTGTGTGAGTGGGGTGTGTGGGACTGGGATGTGTGTGAGTGGGGTGTGTGGGACTGGGATGTGTGTGAGTGGGGTGTGTGGGGTTGGGATGTGTGTGAGTGGGGTTTGTGGGGTTGGGATGTGTGTGAGTGGGGTTTGTGGGGTTGGGATGTGTGTGAGTGGGGTGTGTGGGACTGGGATGTGTGTGAGTGGGGTGTGTGGGACTGGGATGTGTGTGAGTGGGGTTTGTGGGGTTGGGATGTGTGTGAGTGGGGTTTGTGGGGTTGGGATGTGTGTGAGTGGGGTGTGTGGGACTGGGATGTGTGTGAGTGGGGTTTGTGGGGTTGGGATGTGTGTGAGTGGGGTGTGTGGGACTGGGATGTGTGTGAGTGGGGTGTGTGGGACTGGGATGTGTGTGAGTGGGGTGTGTGGGACTGGGATGTGTGTGAGTGGGGTGTGTGGGACTGGGATGTGTGTGAGTGGGGTGTGTGGGACTGGGATGTGTGTGAGTGGGGTGTGTGGGACTGGGATGTGTGTGAGTGGGGTGTGTGGGACTGGAGTGTGGGATGTGTGAAGGTTGAGGACACGTGCATTGCATTGCATGTGTGAGAAGGATAGTGTGGGATAATGTAACCAGAGGAGTGGATGGGGTGACTTTTGAGTCGACTCAAAAGTCACCTCGTGTGTGAGAAGGATAGTGTGGGATAATGTAACCAGAGGAGTGGATAGGGTGGAGGGAGGAGGTTCCGTTTGTGGTGGAGTGGCTGATTTATAGGCGGAGGGAGAATGTGTGTGCGGGGGCCGGAGGAGAGTACCACCAATTGTAGAAAGTGAATTTCAGGGAGGAGAATTTCACCACTTGGGACGTCTCAAAAATTCACTTTCTACACGGTGGTCAATATTTCACCACCAATTCCATTTATAGCACCTCTAACCGCTTTTGTGATGGTAATCCCTGTAGTACTTCTTTTATTTAGCAGATCGCTAATATGCCCTCCCCCATTCCTCCTATTCCATGCAGGCTGGTGTCTTGTGCTACTATGATGTGCGAGAGACAGGCAGGTGGGGGGAGCATGCCACTCTTAGCAACATTTCCATTTTTAACTCTCCAGCACACCCCATTTCCCCTGTTCCATGCAGGCTGGTGTCTTGGGCTACTATGATGTGAGAGAGACAGACCAGTGGGGAGAGGTGCATGCCACTTATAGCAATATTTCCATTTATAACTCTCCAGCACTCCCCACCCCCCCTATTCCATACAGGCTGGCGTCTTGGGCTACTATGATGTGCGAGAGACAGACAGCGGGGGGGAGCATGTCATTTATAGCGAGATGCACAAAAACGTGTATCCGAACCTGCACGAGAGGTCCGAGTTCGGCCGGACCTGCCGAGAGGTCAGTGGAGCAGAGGAATGGGACGGGTGGGTGAGGGACGTGACTGCAGCTGATTATGCCAAGCAGTTGAGAAAAAGCCCGCAGCCAACAGTATGAGAGATCAGAAACAGCTGTTCTCAGTTTTGCCACGAGCACCTTCTCTGACTAATCAGCCCCTTGATGGAGCTAGGCTTGTGCCAAGGGATCACAGAGCATTCCCAACGAGGTTCCAGTTATTTTCTGCGATTAATCCTCCTCTTCACAGTACTTGGATGCTAGTCTAGCTTCACTGAGCAGCAGCTAGGGCAGGAAGAAGGTTAAGGAGATAAAGCGATGGCTGCAGCGGCCTTGGTGTGAACACTAAGAGTGAATAATTTTCACGATCAAGCCTAGTCCTCCTCTTCATGGTACTCAGAAGCTAATCTAGCGCCACTAGCGGAGAGGGAAGGAAGAAAGCAGCAGAGACGACAGCCATGGCTGCAGCAGCCTTGGTGCGAGCACTTACCACTAACTATCCTGCTCATTTTACAGTGCCTAGTCCTCCTCTTCATAGTACTCAGAAGCTAGACTAGCCCCAGAGGTGAGAGCCATGGCTGTAGCTGCCTTGGTCCTAACGGCAAGGCGAATCACACACTAATCTTCCTCTTCATAGTACTCAGACGCTAGTCTAGCGCCACTGAGTAGCAGCGAGGGCAGGAAGAACGCAGCAGAGATGAGAGCCATGGCTGCAGCAGCCTTGGTGCGGGCACAGAAGGTGTTGAAGGGCGTTGACCCCGTGCAGATGAAGGGACGGCCCGGCAGGCCCTGGTCGTTGAGTGTGGTGAGGGCAGCCGTGGCAGCACCGGCACTTAAAGCCATAGAGAGAGCGATCTGCAGGAAAGGTGTGGAGAGGGGGAAGAGGGGGGTGGGGAGAGGAAACACAGAACGAGAAATCCTTGGGTGCGGGCACAGAAGGTGTTGAAGGGCGTTGACCCCGTGCAGATGAAGGGACATCCTGGCAGACCCTGGTCGTTGAGAGTGGTGAGGGCAGCCGTGGCAGCACCGGCAGAGAGGGCCATAGAGAGCGCAATCTGTAAGGGGGGAGGGAAGGGAGCACGGGCATGGAGAGGGAATGCCTTGGGTGCGGGCACAGAAGGTGTTGAAGGGCGTTGACCCCGTGCAGATGAAGGGACGGCCGGGCAGACCCTGATCGTTGAGTGTGGAGAGGGCAGCCGTGGCAGCACTGGCACTTAAAGCCATAGAGAGAGCAATCTGCAGGAAAGGCGGGGAGAGGGGGAAGAGGGGGGTGGGGAGAGGAAACACAGAACGAGGAATCCTTGGGTGCGGGCACAGAAGATGTTGAAGGGCGTTGACCCCGTGCAGATGAAGGGGCGGCCGGGCAGACCCTGGTCGTTGAGGGTGGTCAAAGCAGCCGTGGCAGCACCGGCACTCAGGGCCATAGAGAGAGCAATCTGAAATAGAATGGTAACGGAGGGTACGAGTGGGTGCAAGTGGGTGTGAAGGGGCGGCCGGGCAGTCCCTGGCCATTGAGGGAGGTGAGGGCAGCCGTGGCAGCACCAGCACTCAGGGCCATGGATAGAGCAATCTGCAGCGATGGGACAGCAAGCAGATTGGGTGGGAGGAGATGGGGAACGAGCAGTGCGGAGGGCTGAGACTTGATCCCATGCAGATGAAGGGGCAGCCGAGCAGGCCCAGGTCGTTGAGAGTGGTCATGGCAGCACTGGCAGCACCGGCACTCAGGGACATGCATAGAGCGACCTGTGATAGAATGTTTGGGGGGATTCAGGAGTGCAAATTGGTGCAAGTGGGTGTGAAGGGGTCACTTGAGAGGCACTGCTTGCTGTGGGTGGTGATGGCGGCAGTGGCAGCACCGACGCTAAGGGCCTTAGAGTGGCATAGGGCTGGGCAGTCACATGTGAGGAATGGGGGGTGGGGATGGCAGCAGCGACAGCAGCAGTGATAGCAGAAGCAGAGGGTCTTATTGGTGGGCAGTGGTTAGAGCACTAGCACTGGCACATGGTGAAGCAGAATGGGGGTAAGGTGGCAGGGTGGCTCCGAGAAGGAGTGGTGGGTGGGGAAGGAGGAGGCTCCGAAATGTGGAAATTCATATAGGTAGTGGTTCAGTGCTGCCTGCCTGTGCCAAGGAGACAACAGAAGAGGAGGCAGGGAGGGTGAGGGTAAAGCAACCGGGGGAGCACATGACGCCGGGGGTTGCTGGAAGCAAGGAGCACTTGCTGGCAGCTAGAAACTTATACGCTGAAAGCTGGTGTAGCTTACAAAGTCACCAATCACAATGGCCCACAGAAGCGCCGTTGAGTGAAGCAGTTTCCCAGAAGCTGCCAGGAAGCAGTCCAGCAGCAGCATCAGCAGCGCCCAGAACCCCGCTATAACCGTCCCCGCTATAAGAAACGAGAAGGCCTGCCAGTTGGAGAACCAGAGCAGCCCTGCTCCGGCGCGGATCATCACAGGGAAGGCAGAAACTGCAGCTGCCAGCTGCAGGAAGCGCAGCAGAGGGTTGATCCACTGGGCGGCTTTTCGCGGACGTTTGCTGCGGAAACCGGACGGCTCCGGTCGGCCCGCTTGCGTCTCCATGCTGCTTGCTCTGAAGGGAAGGTTGTGCGCAAAGTGTGCGAGGAGATTTCAGGCCCGTTCAGGCCAATTCCACGAAAGCTAATGGTGAAGCAGGTTAACAGCGTTTGAAGAATAAGGGGCAGAGGCAGGTGAAGATTGCTAGGATGTTTTGATTTAACAGAGGCTGCAGTGCGGAGGGAGGAGTGGCGTTGTGTCAGGCCGTCGTAGAAGCTAGGGAGAACAAGCTAGTCAGGGAGGATGCAAACAGAAAAACAAGGTTATGGGTAACAGGCTCGCGTACAAAGCTAGTAACCGGAGGATGTAGGTATCTGGGGAGGTCTGGCTGAGTACCCAGTGAAAACGGTGTTCCGGCCGCCAGACAGCAAAAACGCCAGAAGTGGTGGTGGCGGACGAAGGGCGGTTGAGTTGAGAGAGTGGGGTGAGGGATTGAATGGAGCGGAGGGAGGGGAGGAGGGAGGGAGGGGGGGCGCATGCACGGAAGGTTGAGAATATTTGTTCCTAACTTGAGCGCGAATTTTGAAGCGACGAGGCGCGAATTCGGAAGCTATGCTTCGCCGTTGTACCTCTCGCAAGGGGAATAGAGAGCACACGCACGCGATGCTTGCCTTGCTGAATTACACGTGTGCTTCGCGCACGGGATGAGCAGCTGTCATTGGGTTGGGGCTATTTTGCGTTTCGCCAATGGTTTGCGAGAGGTTTCAACTATGGTAACATTAACACGTCAGCGTGAACCAGCTGTTCCAGCATCACGAGGGGGCTTGCATGGCGTTAGGTTGGGAGAACGATGAATCGGTTGGGAGAGTGAAAATTCGGTTGGAATGGGTGTGGAGGATAATTCATTGTCATTTTTCAGGCATCAGCGATAAGCTTCAGTTGCGGCGCGAACAATTCGTCATTCCTGGACATTCGATTTCCCCGTCATTGTTTTACATCTCCCCTCCGCTTGTTTGGAGCACAGGCAGGCAGCAACCGTGATTCTCTCGGCTTCACAACATTTCCTCTAATCCACTTTGGCTCTGCTCCTTATCTCGGTTTAGCTCCTTACCACCTTAGCCAGCAGCTTACGTCTCATTCAGGCAAAAGGGACCTCTATTGGCGATAGTTCACCTTGGCGTTTTTTCATAGTTTTAGAAATTCCCAAAGATGATGCCAGAAGGAGAGAGGCCGGCACCAACAGAAGCAGCAGCTACAGGCGAAACAGGAACGCGGGCTAAACAGGTGGACACAAAAAGGAGGTCCCCTGACCAATGGGTGTCGCTTTTATTCAGGTAGACCTTCTCCTGAGACGAAGTCACTCTCGCCATCATTATCCTATGAATTTTGACGTCCAGAATTTTTAGGCATTTTGTTTCAAAGCGTTCTTGCTTTCTGCAGCCGTTCAGTCTCAGTCCAATCCGCCTTGCCTGGCCTGCAGTTGATACCGATTTCACTTGCAACGCTTGTGCAGGTTCCTTCAGCTGGCCTCATCGGTTATATCCTTTGTGGTGTTGCTTAAAGCGGGCCACCTGGACCTCGACTTCAGAGTAAATATCCATCTCATAGACTTGATTACGCATGACTGTACAATTGTTTTTGTGTTGCTTTATCGTTTCAACATCCGCCTCTTTTGCCAGTCACATGATATGAATTTTGTTTCCAGTTGAGGAATAAAAGTAAATTCACTTGAGAAAAATTGCTCCCATGTCTCGCAAATTGCAAATTTTCATGGTGTACCACTCTGCTTGCTGCTTTTTCTCCATATCTCGTGCCACTCTGGCAGAGGTACCAGGCATTTCGCTATCTCCTGGCAGGCATGGTCATAACAGCTGCCTGGTCTCTCCTCATGCTGCTGATAGAGCTGCTCCAACTTGCGATGGGCCGCAAGCTCCGGTCCCTGATTTGGCGAGGGCTTGTCTATCTCATGGACATTGTAAGTTTCGTTTTCGTTTTATCACCAATCACTTCTTCCATTCTTTTTTTTTTTTTATCTCACGCTTATGTCTGGTGGCGTTGTGGATTGTTTCTTTCTGCCCCGATGCAGCTTATGGCATTGGTTGCCCTCAGTGCGGGTGCTGCCGCAGCAGCAGTAACCACGTTCAATGATCGGGGAATAGTGCTGTTCAACTATGCTCCATGTGTTGGACCATCACCATATACTAGGTTTTGTTCAAGAACCAAGGCTAGCACTGCATTTGCGTTCATCACATTCTTCTTTTTCCTTCCTCACATCTTGTTGTCTGCCATCTCGTATTTCATTCGCTTCTTTGAAGGTTAGTGTAAGCAAAATATATGTACAGTTGCAATCTGTATGAATAGAGTGCAGATTTTTATTGTGCACAGAACTGAAAAGTGCCACGCTATTTGTTTCATAATGCGTAACTCCTTATTGCGCTGTAGTAAAGCTGTAGAGATTCGTGGATTTCCCATCGCTGTACGTTCTCCTCACCATGTACAGTATCGCTCGCATGGAGCACCCAAACCATCTCTAAAATCGGACGGTCTTAAACAACTGACACCCAACAAATCTGCGCGGGCTTTTGGATTGAAGGCGTCAGAAAGTTTTTCAGAAACCCGTGATCCGTCTACATACGCGTTACTGTTTTCGGTATATTTTTACAGCGTCAGCGATTGTAGGACTGCTGTTAGGGGGTGTTACATGTGCGCAAGAACTACGCTGGGCCATGTTGGGCCGCTGCGGCCCAGGGGATTTGCGCGGACCAGCATGGACCAGCGAACGGCCCAGGTGTGGACCCGACTTGCACCCGCCCACGGACCAGCATGTACAGTGCGAGGCGCACGTACGAAAACGACGCTCGACACGCAGGACCATTTCCAGAGCGACCCTGGGCGATGGGAATCGCATGCGAAAACAGCGTTTTGCTTGTTTCGTCAAAAGTATCTGCTGTGTGCGACATCTTGTTCAAGCGTGACCAGGTACACTATTATTTTCGTCAAAACCTCGTTTTCGAAGCTGCAATGCACTGTGCAAAGCTGGTCCGCCGCAAATGGTCCCCGGTACCACGCGGGACCACTTTTGGAAGTGGTCCCTCTAAAATGGTGTCCCCTTGCATTCGCTGGTCCATTTCCTTGCAAATGGACCAGCGCGCAATGTAACACCCCCTTATTCTGCCTCGGTTCTGTTATTCTTTTCTTCGGAACTTCCGAGCTCGTTTTTTATCAGGCATCTCTCTCGAGCCTTCTTTTGTCATGAAGCACCTACCACCAATTGAACTTGACGCAAGTTAGAGATTTATTAGAGTGAAGGTGGTAGCTCGCGTTTCGTAGGATACGGTTAATCGTCGCTGGCACCTAAGTCAGGGTCATTTCGGCATTTCGTATTCTCAGTTCCGTATTTTCCTGCTGATCCTCGTCGCGTCTGAACCGAGCTTAATTGTCTAGCTTAGCTCCTAAGATCGCATTTGAGTGATGGCGGAAGCAGCGGCAGCATGGCAGCCGTCGGAGCAGGGAGCGAACGAGATCTGCTCGCTGCTGCACGAGTACCTTAAGCCAGGGGTCGATCAGGCGCGAATCTTCCAGGAACTGCAGCGATGCAGCCAATTTCCCGATTTCAACAACTACCTCGCGTTCCTTCTGTGCAAGGGAGAGGTGTGCAACCGCCATCCCCGCGATATTTTGTAGGTGATCGATTTCTGTGTATCAGCGACTGCATCGCATTCCCTGTTGTGTTGGGGGAAGTGCGAAGTTGCCGCCCATTGTACGACGGCAAGCAAACATCAAGTACGAGTAAATGCGCGACCCGAGTACATTTGGTTTCTTTTTTTTTTCCTACATGTTTCGTTCGAGTATCTCTCAAGTTTCCAGGCCCAGCGTGTTACTTATTCCATGAGGTTTTTTTCAAGTCTTCGGTCTTACGGAAGCCGATCGAGCATTAAGAATCTAGTCATTTTATCCCGAAGGTCTGCTGAATGTAGTACCCGAGAGTAGCACATGCAGCTTTAGAGATTCGTCAACGTAGCATATGGGGTTAGTAGTCGATCAAAGGTGGATAGTTTGACGGTTTGAACCCTTGGTGCCGAGTCTCATGTCGCTCGGCTGTATCGCGATCCGATTGGTTGCTACGCGATCCCGCTTGATCGTTAACGCGAATCGATTAACTCATCATTACGCGATCTCGGTCTTGAAGCGTCAGTCTGTGCTTATTGCTCACGCACCGATCGGTTTGCTGCTCGATCCTTGCGGCGTGTCTGATTTGCTCCCCATGGCTCCCGATCATTGAGTCGACTCAAAAATCGTCTGATTTGCTCCCCATGGCTCCCGATCATTGAGTCGACTCAAAAATCGTCTGATTTGCTCCCCATGGCTCCCGATCATCGCGCATGTAACACCTTAAGCATCCCCTCTTAGTGACCGTTATTGTAGTTCCAGGGTACTTTCCTTAGTCGTTTATTTGCATCATTTTCTGAATTTTCTATCCCTTTCACAACCCCACCCCCCCGTCCCCTCTCTCCCCTCCCCCCTCCCCCCTCTCTCCGCGTCCACCCCTGCAGAACCAACCAGTGGAGGTTCGTCAGAGCGCGGGTCTCCTCCTGAAAAACAACCTGAGAACCGGCTACGAGAACCTGAACCCCGCCTATCTCGCCTACATCAAATCGCTCCTGCTGCCGTGCATAGGCCTTCCGGATCACCAGTTACGCGCTACAGTGGGCACCGTTATATCGTGTATTGTGGAGCAGCAGGGTGGGCTGCACGCGTGGACGGACCTGCTGCAAGTGATGCTGCAGTGTTTGGACTCGAACGATTTCAGCCACATGGAAGGAGCGCTGGATGCTCTGTTTAAGGTCAGTCAACGATATGCTTGTATCGAGTACAGAGGTTGGTTGGTTCTAGCCTGTAGGTGCTGCAAGTGATGCTGCAATGTTTGGACTCGAACGGTTTCATCCACATGGAAGGGGCCCTGGATGCTCTCTTCAAGGTCGGTTATCAAATGTGCTGGTTGCAAGAACGTTTTTTTTTGCTTGTGTTGCAAGTGTTGCTGCAGTGTTTGGATTTGAACGATTTCAGCTACATGGGAGGGGCCCTGGATGGTTTTTTTGTGAGGATGGTTAACGAATGCGCTTGTAACCGCTCCAACGACTTCAGCCTCCCGCGTATCCCCGCTTTTCCCCCTTCAGATGAGCGAGGACATGCCGCTACAGCTCGATCGAGACATCCCCGGCCTGGCAGAGCGCCCCATCACCGTCTTCCTGCCTCCTGTTCCCTCCTCAAGCCACCCTTATCTCCACCCCCAACCCACCTCCACCGCTCTGCACCTCTCAGATGAGTGAGGACATGCCGTTGCAACTCGACAGGGACATCCCCGGCCTGGCGGAGCGCCCCATCACCGTCTTCTTGCCGCGCTTGCTGCAGCAATTCGCCTCGCCACACGCCAGCCTGAGAAAGTTGGCGCTGGGGAGCGTGAACCAGTTCATTCTGCACATGCCCAGGGTGGGTGCTGCTTCGGGTGGGTGGGTGTGGTGTGCAACTAGGTTAGGTTATGAGACGCGTCTTGCGCCCCTCTGCATCTTTTCGCCTCGCCTCACGCCAGCCTGAGAAAGTTGGTGCTGGGGAGCGTGAACCAGTTCATTCTGCACATGCCGCCAGTGAGCTGCGCTTTCGGCATGGAAAGTCTAACCTGCAAAGTGTGTGATGGATGGAAAGTGTGTTTGCCCCGCTGGCAGTTGTGGTTTCGTCACCTGCAGGTGTCCAACCTGCATGCTTCTTGTGGGTTCGAGAAACTCTATCCTTGTTCTTTCGTCACCTGTCCCCTCCCTTTCCCCCCCAAACCTCTCGTCACCAATCCCCATCCCTTGTCGTCACCTCTCCTCCCACTTTTCTCTCCATGGCTCGGTTCCGAGCCCATCCCGAAAGTTCGTTTTGATGCGCCCCAAGACGAGTTTTTCTTCTCGCCTCATCCCCCCACCCCCCCGCAACCGCAGGTGCTGTTAGTTAACATGGACAGCTATCTCCAAGGCCTCTTTGCTCTCGGACCAAAACCCATCCCTTTCCGGAAGTCTGTTTCGATGGTCCTCAGAACAGGTTCCTTCCCCCCCCATCGCTGCACACCTCCATTCCCACTCCTTCAGGTGCTTCTGGTGAACATGGACAGCTATCTGCAGGGCCTCTTTGCTCTTGGATCCGAAACCCATCCCGGAAGTCCGCTAGGAGGCGCCTGATTACAGACTCCTCCCTCCCCCACCTCCCCCCACCCCCCACCATCCGCCCACCTTCAGGTGCTGCTGGTGAACATGGACAGCTACCTGCAGGGTCTCTTTGCTCTCGGATCCGACCCCATCCCCGAAGTCCGCAGGCTGGTGAGTTTCAAGGCGCCTCAAACCCCAACACCAGCACCAATTCTCAGAGGTCTTTTGAGCCCAAACTGCCATTTCTTCTTTCGGATCCAACCCCATTCCCGAAGTGCACAATCTAGTGAGTTCCTGCCCAGCACCAGCACCGCTTTTTGTTAGGAAATCTGAACCTGTCTGTACTGCTGGCACTATGAGACGCTTCTAACTGGGTTTTACCATGTGCTGTGCATGCATGCATACGTACGTATCCTGTGACTGCAGGTGTGCTCAGCGGTGGTCCAGCTCATCGAGCTGCAACCCTCCTTCCTCCAAGTAAGCACCCTTATCATCTCATTTAATTCTGCGCACATTTCTTGAAGCTCCAGTGTTGTTCGATCCCGTCTGTCCAATGCGGCCTCAGGGTTTCGGGTTTTGGGTTACAGGGTTACAGGTTTTGCGTTATAGGGTTTCGCGGGTTCTATGGCCCTTTGTTGTGGAGAAAGCTTCAGCTGGGATGTGGTAGGGTGCTTGCTGGGTTTCACTCGCTATGCCCAGTGTATCCATCTATTCCGCCCTTCCCCTCCTCGGTTGCCCCCTTACCCCCCATCTCTTCGCCACCCATCCCCCAGCCGCACATGCGCAATGTGATAGAGTACATGCTAGCTTCCACAAGAGACTCTGACCCCGATGTGGCTCTCGAGGCGTGTGAGTTCTGGTCAGCCTACTGCGAGAACAACCAGTCGCCCGAGATGCTGAGGGAGTTCCTGCCCCAGCTTGTAACGGTAGGTGGCAGCATGGGGTGTGAGTGCATGTGGTGTGTGTGCGAGGATTGACTTGTGATTGGATGCAGTGAGGCAGAGCATGTGAGGCGTGTGGGTTCTGGTCCGCCTACTGCGAGAACAACCAATCGCCCGAGATGCTGAGGGAGTTCCTGCCCCAGCTTGTGACGGTAGGTGGCAGCATGGGGTGTGAGTGCATGTGGTGTGTGTGCGAGGAGTGACTTGTGATTGGATGCAGTGAGGCAGAGCGTGTGAGGCGTGTGAGTTTTAATCCACCTACTGCGAGAACAACCAGTCACCCGAGATGCTGAGGGAGTTCCTGCCCCAGCTTGTGACGGTACATGCCTGCATGTGATTACAAATGCTACATGTTATTTCAAAACTCTCTCTTTTCCCCCTCTCCGCCCTCCCATACTGTTGTATATGTGAATGTGACTAGGTTCCCTTGACAAACATGGTGTGTCCAAAATGTAGGAGGTCATTTCAGAAGTCCCCCTTGCCCCCTCAATTATCATCCCACCATTTCTCACCCCGTTGTGCTGGCTACGTGTGGATGTGAACCAGGGTTTATTGACGAACATGGTGTATGCCGATGCCGTTGAGGTGACTTTTGAGTTGACTCAAAAGTCACCTCGTGTGAATGTGAACCAGGGTTTATTGACGAACATGGTGTATGCAGATGCCGTTGAGGTGACGACTCAAAAGTCACCTCGTGTGAATGTGAACCAGGGTTTATTGACGAACATGGTGTATGCAAATGACGTGTGAGGCAGTCAGTCATCAATGCCAAGACAGCTCAAAATCCCATTTCTCACCTATGTGTGTTTCTGTGTGTGCATGCATGTGTGTCGGTGTGTGTGTGGGTGGGTGTGTGTGTGTGGGGTGTGTGTGTGTGTGTGTGTGTGTGTGTGTGTGTGTGTGTGTCTTTCTCTCTCTCTCTCTCCTCGTTGCCACACAGGTTCTCTTGACGAACATGGTGTATGCTGATGATGACGAGGCAGTCATTGATGCTGAGGTGCGACATGTGCTGTGCATGCATGGGGTCATGTGTGGAGTGCATGGGGTCATGCATGGGGTCATGTGTGGAGTGCACGGGGTCATGCATGGGGTCATGTGTGGTGGAGTGCATGGGGCCATGCATGGGGTCATGCATGGGGTCATGCATGGGGTCATGCATGGGGCGCATGGCATGAGACGCACGGGCGTATCGCATGTGATGATGCAATTCATGCGGTAAGGTCACACTCTCTATTTTTGAGGCGCCTCAAAAATCAATTCATGCGGTAAGGTCACACTCTCTCTGATTTTTGACGCGACTTCGGATTGAAACTCGATTTCGAATCAGAGCTGTTTCCTGAACGGAGCTGTTGCAAGAAGCAAGCTGGCGCAGAGCCACTTGCCTTGCCTGCATGCATGTCTGCCTGCTTGCTTGCCTGTTTGGATTGCACGCTGCTCAATGAGAGTTTGAGTTGATTGACTTAACGTCCTATCTTGCCGTGTGGCCCCTATTGTTCCATCGATTTGCTGCTGTGCCCCTCACAGGATGAAGGAGGTGCTCCCGATTCTGATCAGGTGAGGAGGACCTCGTTTTCCTTGAATGAGTCTTTTTCTTTCATGTTCCCAAAGGGCTCTTTATGTGGGGTCTGGGTGACTGATGGCATGCTAGTTTGAATTGATATCATCGCACTGTATTGCTTGCATTTAGGCCGCGTCTGTTTGGCCTATTTACAGTGCTAAAACTCGTATGAATCCCGCTCGTTCGTCCCTTTCCGCTTGTCTCGCTTCAACTGTGAAGCTCTTACTTTTTGCTCCCTCTCCTCCTCACATTTCCTTTTTTCCCATGTTGCCTCAACCGGGTGTCCTCCTCCTCCCGTTCCTGTTGCTCCTCCTCCCTTGCCTTGAAACGGCTCAACACTTAACCGCGCTCTCCCCTGTCTGTTGCTCCTCCTCCCTTGCCTTGAAACGGCTCAACACTTAACCGCGCTCTCCCCTGTCTGTTGCTCCTCCTCCCTTGCCTTGAAACGGCTCAACACTTAACCGCGCTCTCCCCTGTCTGTTGCTCCTTTCAGGATCTCAAGCCGCGTTTTCATCAGTCAAGGCTGCATGGTGCCAATGGCGAGGTGAGATTGACTTGTGTTGACTGAAAGTGATTCAAGCTGACGAGTTGACCAGAGTTGACTTGAGGGTGCGAAGTCTTTCGTGTGTCTGGATGTAGGTTTTACGAGTTGATCTGGAGTGAGTTTCATTTTGTCTGGAATGTTGATGCTTCCAGTTGCACTATTAGTTGGCTTGGGCCTTACCCAAACATACACACAAGTAAGTACCATACACTATCCCCCCCACCCCCACACACACTCACATGCTCACAGGACGCGGAGGAGGACTATGATGAGAGTGCGAGCACATGGAATCTGCGCAAGTGCAGTGCAGCAGGGCTGGACATTCTCTCTCACGTCTTCGGAGACGCGCTGCTGCCCGTCCTCATGCCTCTCATCCAGGTACGCTCCCAACCCTAGTAGCCCCTCTAGCCCTTCTAGCCCCTCTGGCCACTCTAGTCCCCTAGCCTCCCTTTAGCCCCTCTAACCCCTGTAGTCCCTCTAGTGCAGTGCAGCAGGGCTGGACATTCTCTCTCACGTCTTCGGAGACGCGCTGCTGCCCATCCTCATGCCGCTCATCCAGGTATGTTGCTCTCTCCATGCAACCCTTCTAGTCCTCTAAGGCCTCTAAGCCATGGGGCCGTGGCGGAGGGCTGCATTGACGGGCTGCTGCTGCCCGCGCTGCCACAGATGATCGCCCACCTGCCTTTTGAGCCGACTCAATAGTCACGGGCTGCTGCTGCTGCCCGCGCTGCTGCAGATGATCGTCCCTCCTTCCCTCCCTCTCTCCTTCTCTCCCGGCTTTTTTCTCCCACCAGACGAACCTTGCAGATCCCCATCTCCCCGCTTCCCTTGCATCCCTCTCCCCATCTCCACGCCCTCCCTCCTGGCAGACGAACCTTGCAGATCGCAGCGAGGGCAAGTGGAAGGAGCGGGAGGCGTCAGTCCTAGCCGTGGGCGCTGTAGCAGAAGGATGCATTGACGGGCTGCTGCCCGCGCTGCCACAGATGATCGCCCACCTGCTGCCCCTCCTGGAGGACCCGCTCCTTCCCCTCCTTCCCTCCCTTATCCCCTCCTTCCCTTTCCCCTTCCCGCTTCCCTTGCATCCCTCTCCCCATCTCCACGCCCTCCCTCCTGGCAGACGAACCTTGCGGATCGCAGCGAGGGCAAGTGGAAGGAGCGGGAGGCGTCAGTCCTAGCCGTGGGCGCTGTAGCAGAAGGCTGCATTGACGGGCTGCTGCCCGCGCTGCCGCAGATGATCGCCCACCTGCTGCCCCTCCTGGAGGACCCGCACCCGCTGGTTCGGAGCATCACGTGTTGGACGCTGTCGCGCTACTCAAAGTGGATCGCCCGTGCGGTGGACAAGCCCGAGGGGCAGCAGCAGTTTGACGCCGTTCTGACTGGGTTTTTGGCGAGGATTCTGGATAACAACAAGAGGGTGCAGGAGGCCGCTTGCTCTGCATTCGCCACTTTGGAAGAGGTGAGAAAAGGGGTGGTTAGAGCACAGGCTAGACTGAGACCCTCTCGTAAGGAGCATCAGCTGTTGTACCCTATCGCTCGGTTGCGACTCCAAGTGTATCGCCCGCACCGTGGATAAGCCCGAGGGGCAGCAACTCCCCCCCCCCCCCCCCCCCCTCTTCTCCCCCCTTCTCCACTCTCTCACTTGAGCGGAGACAGTGGACGAGATGCCTGATTCTTGATTTGACTCGTCTCAAACCCCTCCCTCCCCTCCCACCCCTACTTCCCCCCAACTCCACCTCCCCTCGCTGCTGCCTCTCCCTCCCCCTTCGTTCCCCCACTCCCCTCTAACCTGAGAGCAGGAGGCGGTGGACGAGTTGCCTGATCGCCTGGAGCCCATTCTGCAGCACCACACAATCTCATTTCCTCTCTCCCGCTCTGACCCTTCACCCCTTTCCCATTCTCCTCACCTGAGCAGGAGGCGGTGGACGAGTTGCCTGATCGCCTGGAGCCCATTCTGCAGCACCTCGCCTTCGCGTTCAGCAAGTACCAGGTGATTGCATCAGAGGTTCAGGGGTAGCATCAGGTGGGTGCAACAAATGCTGAGGAGTTTCCAATGAACCGCACCTTTGTCTCTGGAGGCTTATGACTCCTAGGTTAAAACGTATGAACTGCACGTTGGAACCTAGTATGGGAACCTCTGTTTGGGACCGTATTGTATGGAACCATGATTTCTGGGAGTGTATTATATAGTACCGTCTCTTACTCCTCTCTTATCCCTCTCTTACCCCTCTCTTATCCCTCTCTTACCCCTCTCTTATCCCTCTCTTACCCGTCTCTTCCCCCTCTCTTATCCCTCTCTTACCCCTCTCTTCCCCCTCTCCCTGCTGGCAGCGGCGCAACCTGCGCATTCTGTACGATGCAGTGGGAACTTTGGCGGACTGTGTGGGGGGAACACTGCAAGATGTGAGTGGCTTTATGGGGAGGACGTTTTTGAGGCGCCTCAAAAACGACCTCAATGAACACTGCAAGATGTGAGTGGCTTTATGGGGAGGATGAGGCCGCATGGGGGGGGAGGGGGGCGCTGTAAGGTGTGTGTGATTGAAGTTGTGGGGTGGGGTGTGAGGAGGCATCTATCTCCCCACTGCTCAAGTGCTGCAAGCCTGCCTATACCCCACTCTTACCCTCCCCACTCTGCTGACTCTTCACCCTCCCACACCTCTATACTCCCCTCCCCTCTCCTTGCCCTCACACCCCACCAGCCGCGTTACATCGCAGTGCTGATGCCGCCTCTCACAACCAAGTGGCAGCAGATCTCCGATTTTGATCGCGACATCTTCCTTCTCCTCGAGTGCTTCACCTTTCTCTATACCCGCCCACCCTGGCCCCCCTTCCCTTCACACCAGCCGCGTTACATCGCAGTGCTGATGCCGCCTCTCACAGCCAAGTGGCAGCAGATATCCGACTTCGATCGCGACATCTTCCCTCTGCTCGAGTGCTTCACCTCTGTCGCTCAGGCCCTGGGCCCCGCCTTTGCTCCCTATGCCGAGACGGTGCTGGCTCGCTGCTGCCACATTATTCGAGTGCAGCTCGTGGCACAGGTGTGTAATGCTCTGTAGAGGGGTGACATTTGGTGACAGGGAGTTTTGTAGGGTGGGGAGAGTGAGTGACCTGGACACATGCGGCTCAGGCCCTGGGCCCTGCCTTTGCTCCGTATGCAGAGACGGTTCTGACGCGCTGCTGCCACATCATCAGAGTGCAGCTCGTGGCAAAGGTATGCAGTGCGGTTGAGAAAGGTGCAGTGCGGTTGAGAAAGGTGATGCGGTTGAGATGGGAATTGTGGGTTGTGGAGGGGTGTGTGACCCTCAGGCTCCCGCCTTTTCTCCGTATGCTAATGGATGGTGAATTTTAGCTCCTATTTCCCTTCCTCCCTCCATTACTTTACCCCCCTCTCCCCCCTTCCACTACCTCTTCTCCCCCATCGCAGAAGGACCCAGCAGCAGCAGGGGCGCCATACGACAAGGAGTTTATAGTGTGCGCTCTGGATCTCAGCTCAGGAGTCGTAGAGGGCCTTGGGCCGACAGTTGAACCCCTGGTGAGTGACTGACGTTCTTGAGGCGCCTCAATATTATACCTCTTATTGCTGTGTGATAGGAGTTTATAGTATGCGCTCTGGATCTCAGCTCTGGAGTCATAGAGGTCTTGGACTGCGGTTGAACCACTGGTGAGTCATCTGCATTCTTGAGGCGCTTAAAGAGTAGATTTGATCTCAGCTCTGGATCTCAGCTCTGGAAGATTTGAAAAGGAGTTTATAGTGTGCGCTCTGGATCTCAGCTCAGGAGTCGTAGAAGCCCCTGTGCCGACGGTTGAGCCACTTGTGAGTGTTTTGCTATAAGTTTGTTGGATGTAATGTAATGTAACCTGTAATGTAAGTAATGTTGGGTTTAGGCAGAATTACTGTTGCTTCATAAGGGGACGGCGCGTTGTCGTGCTTCACCCTCTTGTCTTGATTCTTTGCTTCATCTCCCTCTGTGCCTGCTTGATGATCCCTTTGCTCTCGTACTTTCCACCACCAGATCGCCAAGAGCGGCTTGACGGACCTGCTGCTGCAGTGCTGTGCTGTGGACGCCAATGACATCAAGCAGAGCTCTCTTGCTCTACTGGGTGACCTCACCAAGGTGCGTTTCTCTCTGCCAGACTCTCGCTAAAGGTACCAGGCAATGCAGTGCTGTTTCAGTGCTGTGCGGTGGACGCCAACGACGTGCAGCAGAGCTCACTGGTGTTACTGGGTGACCTGACGGAGGTATGCTTCGCTTTGCTGTTCATCTTGAATCCCTCTCTGTGTGCGTGCGTGGAACATCTTGTGGGCTGGTTGCACTTGCAAGGACGTCCTTTCCCCCCTGAATCTCCTCCTCTGACTGAACTCACCCCCCTCTGCTGACTCCCACCCCTGCTCCCACCAGTCGTGTGTGCAGCAGGTGCGGCCGCGCCTCAACGACTTCCTTCGTGTGCGTGGTGGGACAGGCAATTTATGTGCTGGCACGAGTGCAGGCTCAACCTCCAGCGCCCTCTCCCCCATCTTCTCCCAATCTTTTTCCCCCGCTTGATCCCGCCAGTCGTGTGTTTTGAGACGTCTCAAAACACTCAACCTCCAGCGCCCTCTCCCCCATCTTCTCCCAATCTTTTTCCCCCGCTTGATCCCGCCAGTCGTGTGTTTTGAGACGTCTCAAAACACTCAACCTCCAGCGCCCTCTCCCCCATCTTCTCCCAATCTTTTTCCCCCGCTTGATCCCGCCAGTCGTGTGTTCTGAGACGTCTCAAAACAGACTCAACCTCCAGCGCCCTCTCCCCCATCTTCTCCCAATCTTTTTCCCCCGCTTGATCCCGCCAGTCGTGTGTTTTGAGACGTCTCAAAACACTCAACCTCCAGCGCCCTCTCCCCCATCTTCTCCCAATCTTTTTCCCCCGCTTGATCCCGCCAGTCGTGTGTTCTGAGACGTCTCAAAACAGACTCAACCTCCAGCGCCCTCTCCCCCATCTTCTCCCAATCTTTTTCCCCCGCTTGATCCCGCCAGTCGTGTGTTTTGAGACGTCTCAAAACACTCAACCTCCAGCGCCCTCTCCCCCATCTTCTCCCAATCTTTTTCCCCCGCTTGATCCCGCCAGTCGTGTGTTTTGAGACGTCTCAAAACACTCAACCTCCAGCGCCCTCTCCCCCATCTTCTCCCAATCTTTTTCCCCCGCTTGATCCCGCCAGTCGTGTGTGCAGCAGGTGCGGCCGCGTCTCAACGACTTCCTCTCCGTGTGCGTGAGCCAGCTGAACGGCCCCGAGTCCTTTGTCCACGAGAAGATTTCAGTCGCCAACAACGCTTGCTGGGCGCTGGGGGAACTGGCTGTGAAGGTGTGTTGCTTGCCCTGGTGGTCGTGATTGTGGTCACACAGAGAATCTCAGAGGTTGGTAGGTGTAGGGGAGGGGAGGGGGTAAGCGAGCTAAACGGCCCTGAGTCCTTCGTCCATGAGAAGATATCAGTCGCCAACAACGCCTGCTGGGCTCTGGGCGAGCTGGCTGTGAAGGTCAGTGATGCACTGGTAGTGGTGGTGGTTGTCACACGGAGCAGGGGTTGAGTAGGAGGAGTGAGCCAGCTGAACGGCCCCGAGACCTTTGTCCACGAGCACATTTCAGTGGCCAACAATGCGTGTTGGGCTCTGGGCTCTGGGCGAGCTGGCTGTGAAGGTATGCTGCTGCCGTGGTGGTGGTGGTGTGGTGGTTGCCACACGGAGGTTCTCAGAGGCTGGTGGGGGGGTGGGGAAAGGGGGGGGAGTGGTGGGGAAGAGGCCGGCTGAATGGCCCCGTCCTTCGTGCGCGAGCGCATTTCAGTCACCAGCAACGCGTGCTGGGCTCTGGGGGAGCTGGCTGTGAAGGTCAGTTCCCGGCAGGATTTGAACAAAACGGGGATTGGTTGGGGGAGGTGGGTGGTTGATCCAAATGACCCTGTTGACCCCCTTGACCCCGTTCGATCGACCCATCCCAACAACATTTAAAGTAATCAGTCTGGTTTCTCTGTGATCCTGCTGACCCCCAACAGGTGCGCGAGGAGATATCGCCAGCGGTGGTACCGGTGTTGAACAACATTGTCCCTGTCCTGACATCTGCACAGAACCCGCGGGTGAGTGCTGTGCTGCTCTGAACATGTTGACTTTTCTGACTGCATTGACTTGCTTGGCCTCTTCGCATGGGAGTGCCCTGACGTGCTGGCTCCCCAGGCCTCTCACCTCTCCCGCGTGCATTGAGGTCGTTTTTGAGGCGCCTCAAAAACGACCTCACTGACGCGCTGGCTCCCCAGGCCTTTCACTTCTCCTGCGTTTCCCCTTCCGCCGGGCCTTCCCCTCCCCCCTGGCCTTTCATTCACCCCTCTCCTTGCCTTCTCCAGGCTTTGCACTCCACAACATGCCTCCCTCTCACCCTGCTATAACTACCCACTCTCCTGCCTTCCTCTACCCCCCTCCTCTCCCTCCAGGGTACCAATCTAGCGCTTGTGGAGAACTGTGCCATCACGCTCGGCCGCTTTGCATGGGTGTGCCCTGACGTGCTGGCCCCCCAGGCCTCCCACTTCCTGGTTCCATTCCTCACCACGCTCAAAGGGTGAGCCTTGAACAGAGCTGTAGGGCCCTCTCGCTTTGCATGGGTGGGTGTGCCCTGACGTGCTGGCCCCCCATGCCTCTCACTTCTTGGTTCCATTCCTCACCACGCTCAAGGGGTGAGTCCCACACGTGCTGCCCTGCTGTGCTGCCCTGCCGTGCTGCTGTGCTGGTGTGCTGCGTGGGTGCGCCCTGACGTGCTGGCGCCCCAAGCCTCTCACTTCCTCGTGCCCTTCCTCACCACGCTCAAAGGGTGAGTCCCAAGCGTGCTGCCTTGCCGTGGTGCTGTGCTGTGTGGGTGCGCCCTGGCGTGCTAGCACCTCATGAGGCTCAAGCCTCTCACTTCCTCGTGCCCTTTCTCACCACGCTCAAAGGGTGAGTTGTGAGGCGCCCACGCACACAACCTCCTCCTCCTTTCATTGCTCACCTCCTCCTCTTTCATACCTGGCAGTTTGATTTTCTCGTTGTCACTCCCCTCGCCTCCTCTTTTTCCCCTAATTACTCGCGCCGCCCCCCCACCCCCGCACCTTCAGTACGCACTTCCTGTCTCTTCCTCCCCTCCTTCATTACTTGCTCTCCCTCTTCCGTTTCTTTTTCCACCTGCTTTCTGTTATGTCCCCATTTCATCCCATTCGCTGACCGCGCATCAAATATCTCCTCCCTGCTCCCACCCGTACCTTTCCCTACCCCCCCCTCCCCTACCTCTTCCCCCCCCCCCCTTCCGCTCCTCTTCTTCTCAGGATTCGTGACGATGTGGAGAAAGAGGAGGCGTTTAAAGGGCTCTGCGCTGTGGTGAGTTCGTTGCGCCACTCTTGTGAATTCCCGAAAGTGACACTTTTGTCTTCCCTCCCCCTCCCCTTCCCCCAGTATTCGTGACGATGTGGAGAAAGAGGAGGCGTTTAAAGGGCTCTGCGCTGTGGTGAGTTGCCCTCTTGCTTTGTTTCCTGTCAGATTTTCTCCTTTTTGAGAATTCTCAAAAAACATACTTTCCATCTTTGCAGGTGTCCCATTCTCTTCCTCTTGCTCCTGTCTCTCCTCCATGCCTCCTATGTCTCAATGACCCCATGTCTCTTTATATGCATGCACTAGCAGTGCCTCAACCCCATGGCTGCCCCTCCCCCACACCCTTTTACCCCTCCCCCTACCTTCTCCACACCCTCCCAACACCCCCTCCCCCTCCCCCCTTATCCTCACACACCAACTGCGCCTCAAACCCATGGCAGCACACCCACTTCTGCTCCCTTTTCCATGCCTTCCCTCTAACCCCCGCCTCTCCTCTCTCTCCCCTCATCTCCCCCGCGTTCCCCCCACCCACCAGCTGCGTCTCAACCCCATGGCAGCATCCGCCGCCATCCACCCACTGCTGCTTCTTCCCCCCTTCATTGTTTCCATCGTTCCCCCTACCGTCCTCACCCCCACCCCCATTCCATTATCCCCTCACACCAGCTGCGTCTCAACCCCATGGCAGCATCCACTGCTATCCACCCACTGCTGCCACACTCCCCTCATCCCCGGCTCAAATCCACAACCCCCCCATTCTCTCCTCTCATCCCTCCTTGTCCCGCTCCCTGTACCCACTCACCAGCTGCGTCTCAACCCCATGGCAGCATCCTCCGCCATCCACCCGCTGCTGCTGCTTCTCCCTTACCTTGCCCATGCCTTCCCGTTGCCTCCCCTTCCCCCCGTCTCTCCCCATCCCCCCCTTTATCCCCTTGTCTCCCAGCCGCGTCTCAACCCCATGGCAGCGTCCTCCGCCATCCACCCACTGCTGCTTCTTCCCCACTTCATTGTTTCCATCGTTCCCCCTACCGTCCCCACCCCCACCCCCATCCCCTCATCCCCTTGTCTCCCAGCTGCGCATCAACCCCATGGCAGCGTCCTCCGCCATCCACCCACTGCTGCTTCTTCCCCACTTCATTGTTTCCATCGTTCCCCCTACCGTCCCCACCCCCACCCCCATCCCCTCATCCCCTTGTCTCCCAGCTGCGCATCAACCCCATGGCAGCGTCCTCCGCCATCCACCCACTGCTGCTTCTTCCCCACTTCATTGTTTCCATCGTTCCCCCTACCGTCCCCACCCCCAACCCCATCCCCTCATCCCCTTGTCTCCCAGCTGCGCATCAACCCCATGGCAGTGTCCTCCGCCATCCACCCACTGCTGCTTCTTCCCCACTTCATTGTTTCCATCGTTCCCCCTACCGTCCCCAACCCCACCCCCATCCCCTTATCCCCTTGGTCTCCCAGCTGCGTCTCAACCCCATGGCAGCGTCCTCCGCCATCCACCCACTGCTGCTCGCCATTGGCAGCTGGAGGGTAGGTCAATGATCAATGATGGTCAGCTACCTAGCTACACATCTGATGGATGGCAGTGGTTGCTGCACTGAATGATGCCTCACAACCAAGAACTAGCTGCTCTTTCTCTTCGCCCTCTGTCTCTCCCGCCCGCCCTCACGTGCCCTCCTTTTGCACGCATGAACATGCGCACATGTGCACAGGCGCGCACACGCACACTCACACGCATGCACACACACTTGCATGCGCACATAGGCACTCCCAGATTAACCTACAGGCACACCAACTCACGTGCAATCCACTCACCCCTTTCGAATCCATCCCCTTTATTGGCATCCTCAGGAGATCCACAGTGCAGAGCTGAAGGCTGAGATTCACCAGCTGCTGCAGGGCTTCAAGCAGGTGGGCCCATGCGAGTGGATTGATCTCCTTGACGTACAGTGCTGAGCTGGACCCTTTAAGCAGCACGTTATTAATACAGAGCTGAGCTGAAGGGTCCAGCTGCTGCTGGGCTTTAAGGGGTTGTGTGCTGGTGTGTGGAGCCTGCTGCAAGTCTGTGGCGCTATTTCAGTGGTCATCTGAGCATGTCTATGTGGTGCTATTCCAGCTTTTTCTTACATGTGGTAACCAGAGGTTTCTGTTACTCCCTTTTTCTCTTGTCCACCACAGATGCTAGTGGAGGCAAGCACGTGGGATCAACTCCCGCAGTCCACTGAATCAACTCAAATTAACATTTTTCTTCGGTGTTCCCTCTTCACTCGTCCCATGCACGTGTGTTATGCACCTACAAACCCACAGATGCTAGTGGAGGGAGGCACATGGGATCAAATCTTGCAGTCCACTGAGCCGACTTGATACGTACTCGTCCCATGCATGTATTCTGCACCTTCCCACGTACAGATGCTAGTGGAGGCAGGCACATAGGATCAAATCCTGCAGTCCACTGAGTCAACTTTGATACCAAACCCTCTTCTCTCATCCCATGCACGTGTGCCCTGCACAACCTACCCACAGATGCTAGTGGAGGCAGGCACGTGGGATCAAATCCTGCAGTCCACCGACAAACAGCTGCTGCAGAAGCTCAGTGCAACGTACGGGATCTAGCTGTGCTGATGTGGCAGCTGACGTGGCAGCTGATGTGGAAGCTGACGTGGCAGCTGGTGTTTGGCACGTTTTGTGGTCAGACAGGATCAGATTACAGGGGAGATTATCAGTGAGCAGCTGTGAAGCTGCCAGGAAGCTGCATCCGTGAAGCTTCCAAGTAGCAACATATTTCAGCAGGCCTTATTACACAGCAAAAGGGGGCCTCTTATGTAAGAAGGTTACGAAGCGCCCGAGAAGATTAGGGTGTTAGATCAGCAGCAGGTAGCAGCCTTCTGCTAAGCAGGGAGGTGAGCAGCAGATGCACGAGCAGCAGCAGCAGAAGCAGCAGCACTTAACAAGATCTGATCCTGATTAGATTTTATGCGGCTACCCCCCGACTCATTTCGTCGCCAGCCTTCCCCGCCACGCGCCTCGCTACACCACCATCTCGCATCATCCCTCCTCCAATAGTGCTCTCCAACCAAGACCCACACCACCCATTTGTACCCATCCATACCCATTCCCATTGACCACCCATACGGGGGCATGCTGACATCATGCTGACATCATAAAGGAGCACTCTCTGACCAATCAGGGAGCAGCAGGAGGAAGCATGGTGGGCAGCGCATTGCTGCTGCCATTGCGTTCCGCCGACCAATCATATCGCGCCTGCATCATCTGCCGCATAGGATGCCACGTCAGATGCTGCGCGTGCCACATCATCGCCATGGTGTACGATGAGATGATACTTCGTTGGGTTAATCTTCAAGAACATTGAGGGTGTGGGTTACACACCCATTTCAGGAGATTGGTTTATGTAAGTTTTCTGTGGTGGGGTGGTGCCTACCTAACGACTGGAGATAGTAGTCTAGAAGAAAGCTTCGCTACTTCGTTTAGATAAGGTTGCTTTTTCTATATCAGCTTGCAGGCTAATGTGTTTGATTGGCCAAGTGGGTGTGTTATGCAGCATTTTTTTTTTTTTTTTTTTTTTTTTTCCTGGATGTGTGCCAGAGCTAGCTGTTGATTTATGTGTTCCAGCATGGTATATGCTCTGTAATGTGTTCCAGCAGACGCAAAAACAGAGCTTGTAGCGCATGCGGCAAGGATTCGTGATTCATGTGACGCGCCAATGTTAGTGGCCGGCCCCTGTGTTTGTCACGAGCACTATGAATTCTCCCAATGTGGACTGCAAACATTTGACAAATCTCCAGGATTTTTGCTTCAGTTAGGTTCCTCCGCATATCTGCAATCATGCTTTTGTGAACTGGTAATTTGTTAGAATAGCTTAGCATCACATGCTATGCAACTATCGAACTGGAAATGCAAACACAAACACTGCAAAATAATGTAGCCTGGTTTTGGTGACTGCGTGCGTGAGCTGCTAATCCTTTGACTTGGCAGGAAGCGAGGTTGGCTTGACTATGGGTACGGCATCATCGTCCTTGCTTGCGGGCTTCTTTCCCCCCTTGTACTTCTGCATGTGACGGGGCGGGAACGAGGGCATAAGGGAATGCACAGAGTGGGTTTTGCGACGCTTCAAAAGTCGCCTCCTTGTGCTCATATTTGCATGTGTAACGTTTGTGATTCAATAATTCAAGTGAATCAGAAGACCCGTTAGCAAATTACTTAGCACACCTCATACCGATTGGAAGGTGTACCGGTATTTGTCGTGTATCCGCATTTGTATTTGTAGGTATATACTACGTCACCCGAAACCCCCCAAAGTAAATTTGATGCACTCACCTGTTTGCTGAAGAAGAAGCAGACGTATTTGTATTTGCACAAAATAATTGTATTCATTATTGCATTTCAATGAACCCAACAACCCGAAAGTAGTCAGAGAGCACGCACCTGCTTGCCGAAGGAGAAGGGGACGTATTTGTACTTGATCATGTGGCGGATCTGGCGCTTCATGGTGAGCACGAAGAGCGTGAACCAATACATGAGCAGGATGGGCCAGAACACCGGCACGTCAAAGATGGGGAAGAATGTCATCGTGAAGGCCACGAGAAATGCCTTGGTCATTGCGTACCTGTGGGAAGTTGGGAACGATTGGAGGGACGGAGGGGATAAGAAAGGAGGAGAAGATGGATGAGGAGAGGATGTGCCAGAACACCGGCATGTCAAAGATCGTGAAGGCGACGAGGGGGGGACGGGAAAGGAGGAGAAGATGGATGAGGAGAGGATGTGCCAGAACACCGGCATGTCAAAGATCGTGAAGGCGACGAGGGGGGCACGGGAAAGGAGGAGAAGATGGATGAGGAGAGGATGTGCCAGAACACCGGCATGTCAAAGATCGTGAAGGCGACGAGGGGGGGACGGGAAAGGAGGAGAATACATATGAGGATACAAGGGAACACCGATACAAGATGGGAAAGAAGGTCATCGTGAAGGCGACGAGGAACGCCTTGGTCATTGCGTACCTGGGGGGGGCAGGAATGGAAGGGCAGAAAGGGATGGTGGGTTTGGGTGGTGTGGATGGGAGACGAGGAGAATAAGGATGAGGAAATGGGGGGAAATTGGCACGTCGAATATGGGGAAGGTCATCGTGAAGGCGACGAGGAACGCCTTAGTCATTGCGTACCTGGGAAGGGGGAGGGTGGGGAGGGGGGGACGGGAAAGGAGGAGAATACATCTGAGGATACAAGGGAACACTGGTACATCAAAGATAGGGAAGAAAGCCATTGCGAACGTGACAAGAAACGCCTTGGTCATCGCGTACCTGGGAAGGAGGGGGGGAAAGAGTTGGGATGGGAGGAAAGGTGGGAACACGAGCAAGTCAAAGAGGGGAAGAAAGCCATTGTGAATGCGACAAGAAACGCCTTGATCATCGTGTACCTGGAAAAGAGGTGGTGGGAGAGGGGGTGTGAATGGTAGTGTAGGAGAATAAAGAGAGGGGAGTGTGGGTGGGGGGAGAGAAATGGGGAATTTGAGTGTGGATGGAAGATGAGTGTGGATGGAAGATGAGTGTGGATGGAAGATGAGTGTGGATGGAAGATGAGTGTGGATGGAAGATGAGTGTGGATGGAAGATGAGTGTGGATGGAAGATGAGTGTGGATGGGGGCATGTGGATGGGAGGAGGGGAATGGGAACAAAGAGAGGGGTGAACATTGGTCAATGTGAATGCGATGGTTTATGCGTTGGACATGGCCTGAGGGGGTTGGGGGGGGGGGGGGGGGAGGGGGAAAGAGAAGAAGGCGAGGGGAGAGGGGGGGAAGAGGGGAGGGAAGGGAGTGGGGGAATGGGGGGAGGAGGTGCGGGGAGAGGTGGGGGTTGGAGGAGATGTGGAGAGTGTGAGTGTGGATGTGAGTGGAGGAGAATAAGGATGAGGTGAACAGGGATGATTGTTCAACGCGAAAAAAGGTCAGTGTGATTGCACGAGACAGGGAAGAAATAGGTGTGGGGGTGTTGGGGTGGGGGGAGGGAAGAGGAGGGAGGCAGAAGTGGGAAACGCACAATGAGAGCCAGCGACCGAAGGAAAGGAACGGGAGGTGGAGGGAGGAAGTAAGGGGTGGGAGATACAATGCGGGAGGGTGATAAAACAGAGGAAACGACAGAGAAGCATAAAAGGCCAAGCATAATCATCACGAGGAAACCTAGAAGCAGCAGCAACAGCAGCAGCAGCAGCAGCAGCAGCAGCAGCAGCAGCAGCAGCAGGAGGCAACCCTAAACTAGACCCCAACCCAATTCTCTCAACTCACCAGAACTTGAACTCTGGTAGCCGTCGGATGAAGGGCTTGAACTCATCGTTGCCCTTGGATGGCAGCACGGGCCCTTCCGCCTCGGGATCCACTTGAGGGGACAGGAACCCGATGAGCAGATTCAGCATGTAGATGCCCAGTCCGTACGTGATTATGTAATATCCGTGTAGGAAGAACACGCGTATGGTGTAGATGAGTGCAATAACGAGTGTAGCGATCCATCTGTACCCATAGTGCGGGGTCGACTT